CGTTTATGAATTATTTATTATTGTGTAATTTATATATTATGTATTGTTATTTTCTTAAAAGGTAAGTAAGCTGAATTTTTATTTAGTCCGATGAAACGTACAAGTTCACTATTATTCCAAAGAAATATGCAACTAAATGATTTGAATGAAATATTTGCAAATAATTCAATTTAGACAAAAATTACTACGTGAATAGACCAACAGAAGGGTATAAATGACTAAGAGGTTATAAGAAATATTCGTTAACTGTACATAGCTAATACGCACGCACACGCATGCGCGCACACACACGTGCGCGCATACACTCCGCCATATTTGGCAGCCAAAAAAATGACAGTAGCTGTGACGAGTTGTCAGTCTTCAGTTATAAACGAAGCCCTCAAGACAAGCACTTGCTTGCCAATTCAAAAATAAAATGAGGAAAAGAAAAAATCAAAGGTCAAAACTAGCTGTATTAATCATATAACTCGCGATTCCCGCGCTAAATTTAAATGAACTTAGAGTTCTCGAAAAATAATATAATTTCGTTCGTTGACCGCCAAGGCGTATGACGAAACGGTCGCGAATGTTGAGCTATTTGTTTGATTTTGTAGAATAATTTGAAAAAAAAGTATGTTTTATTTTCCAAAGTTAGAAATTATTGAATAAATCAAATGTTTTCAAGATAAACAAATAAAAAAAGTTAACAAAAAATAATTTTCTAAAGAAATGACAAGATACCTATACTTTACAAGTTGGGGATATTTTTAAAATCGACATTTTCATCTCAAAAAAAGAAACAGCTTCTTTTCATTTGTTTGAAAAATTTCTATTAAATAAAAGGTACTATTTTTTTTTAAGACGCTGGGATTCAGTGACTCAAAATAAATGAGAAAATCATTGGTTCCTAGTGTTGAACCTTCGTCAGCATATTGACTGAGGACTGTATGAGGCCGAGTGAAAATTGTAACTACGTTGGTCAAAATACACGATAACAATGAAAGGAAACATTTGTTTTGAGTGAGAATGTTACTATTACGAATAGGACGTTGATCAGTGCGACAGTAGAGGTTCTTGTACGTATTACAGCAGCCGAGCAAAAGCGAAATACGCACAAACGGCTTACGGCATTCGAAATGGACGCAAACACGCGCTAAGAGCGCACGCATAGCCAGTTATAACCTTTCGCATATCTTTCGCCGACTTTGCATTCACGGACGATTTTGAAACGCGTAAGTGTGTCCCTGGCTTTCTAGCTCTTTATTTCTGTTGTAATAGAAAAAAGCTATCATTCATTTGTTTACTCGAGATCTGTCATTGGCTGTGTGTTGCTGACAGTTTCAGCAGCATTCTCAGGAAGGTAGACTCCTTCCGGGAATCTGCGCAGAAAAATAGTCGATCGGTATGTCATTGAGCATTGACATTCGAAGCCGACGATATAGAGGAGCGGAGGAGTGCGTGCTAGCCGACTCGCACGCAGCAACACGAGCGAAGGTTTGAATGGCGCAAGCAAATACAGCGACGACATGACCGTGACAATACAAGAGATTCTCACCTTGACAGGCTGCAGAGGCTGCGCGAGGACTCCGAGACTCGTAGAATTGAGAGGTACACACGCGACCGAGCACACGTAGCAATGTCACACGCGTATAAGACAGATTTGTCGCCGCGAGACGAACACGGGCCCGACGAATCTGCTAGCGGCAAAATGTAAGCAGACGAATGCAAGGAACTAAGTTGAGACAGCGCCGAGACAGCTTGTAGTGCAGGCAGCCGCGCGTCACTGTCTCCATGCGCACGCGACGGCGCTCGCTCGCTGACTGGCGATGATGAGGCCTGAGCAGCTGGCCGATCGGACTCCGGAGCGCGCGACGGCCGATTGCCGAAAGCGGCACAATTCTACCCGAGCCGCTTACGCGCTGGGCCTGCACGTGCGACAGTCTTGCAGCTACATGCGCCTTGCACAGCCGATAGGTCGCTCGACTCGCGGCTTCCCTCTCTTCTTCGCTCCCCAATGCCCACAGCCCGTGTTGTCTGTACTGTGTTTCTCTCGACTTTGCCGTCTTCGCACCAACGCGCCAGCTTTTTATAATAGTTACGTCAGATTTTTCTCTAATTTACTTTTTTATCTTAGACTAGTGTCGATATCTCAGAACCTGTGCTTTCGATAAAAATGCAATGCTTCTACTGATTGCAGGTTGCTCAAATTACGCGCGTGTTTCGGCGACGTCATCACTTTTATCGACTTTCATTGTTTCGTTGAGGTAGATATCGTTTAACGTCCATATAATCATCACTTTCTCGGCGAAGCCGCGCGAACGCATTTGTCACGGACTGTAGAGATACACATGATCATTTTATCACCGCTCTAATCGACAATTCCAAGATATGGAACGTTTTTCGATTCTCAATCAATCAGAAATACTTGACAGGTTCAGCAAAACACGCTTCTACTTCTACAATCAGCTCGACTGGACAATATTAACTGGCACTCATTCCTAAGAAACTGACAATTTTTCACATTTCTCTGTCACGCGAAATATTGCAACAGTTTGAGCTGTCCAATTAATTTCCACGTGCTTGTTGTAGCTTCAATTGAACCGTGATCAATTCAAACGCCACTACCAGTACCTACGCCAAGTTTAAATAAACAAAACTAAAGTTCTTGCACCACTGGAAATAACAGATTTCGATTTTCAACGAAATAAACATTTTATTTTCATATTAGCCATACGAGAGCGAACCGTTATTAGGAGAATGTGGAAGCACTAACTCCCAAATCATTGAGATTAATTCATGTGATTCTTTAATAGACGGCAGTAAATCGATTCTCAAATAAATTGTTTTCTACGAATCTTACTCATCTATATACAAAACAAAAATTGTTCTAAGGCTTGAGAGCGAAAAAACTCGAACCGACTGAAGCTTTCGAGCTTCGGAGCTATCAGCCAGTATATACTGAACGTACCTATACCTTTCCGCGCACAGTTTCAGACCGGTTGTGTGTCTGATTTTTAAAATGTTGCAATACATGAAAGTCACTATTTGTACGCGAACGGTATAGAGCGCGACATAAAAATAGTGGTAAGTTTCCCCATCTATATTCACCAGCCATAAGTTTGTTGCAAAATTCGATAGGTTATTGGTAGTGTCGCTTAAAATTGTAAAGTTATGTTTTCCATTTTAAATTACGGCATTTGACGCGTGCAAAAGAAAGAGCCATCATCTATATTGAGACGTTATTGAGCTTGAATCGATCATATCGTCCAATTGATTGATGAATTGTAACAAAAATCATTTATGATTCCTGTGAGTACGCGTGTCGATATAAAAAAATAATTTCAAACGAATTATACTTACTAGCAGCGAATAATAATTTATGGACACTGTCAAATCGAAGACGTTACTGAGCTTTTAAAACGAACGCGAACACGCTTCCTAACAAACTAGTACCAAATACAAATCTATAAAGATATTTTTATTCGTATTTCCAATTGATCAAACTTTGACTTTAACATGAAATTTATTTGACCTTAATAATAAGTGGCCTCGCTCTTTTAATTTATTTATTAAGCTGATTAGCTACCTGAGATAGAACAATAAGCTGTAAGAATATACTCACGCACAGTTATAAGACTGTATCGCGCTAAATTATTATAGCAAATAATAATTTTGGAATAACAATACATAACGACTTGACTGGTGACGACACTAGCCGGTCCGTATCGTAAAAGCTATCACAGGGATACTGATTGCAATGGTATTCGCGGCAATAAGTTCGCCTGCGCATGCATACGCTTCAATTTACGTACGGAAGGACACTGCAAACTTTCCTATGATTAAAACGTTCGATCAATTGGTCAGTCGCGCGAAGAATTCCCGCTTATTACTTACAACACACAAGCCTTGCGCCCTCTTCTGAGGACGATCAATTTCGCCACGACACCAGTACCATCCAACATACTTTTTGTATAGATGTCAAGACCTTTTCATTTTTAATATATTGATTGAAATAGCTCTCTTGAATAGTAACGATTTATTTGCAGTGCTTGCCCTCTTTTATAAATTCTCGTTGTTCAAGTCTTTTCTAAATTTGCCGACGATCTCGTGCGTAGAAGCAGAAACAACTATCAAATCCAAAAATTCAGATTGCAAGATTGCCAAAATATTGATAGCATTTACGAGAAATAGTGTCAGAATATTAGGTCATGCGAACAATTAGATAAACATCACACGAGCATCTTTTAAAGAGCAAACGTGGATCATTAATATAGACACACTATTATTTAAAATACTAATATTTTTTCCGCGAAACTAAGGACGGAATTATTAAATGGTAGTAACTGTAAAAGTTAAAACAGAAGAAGCAGTAAAAGAATATTAGTAACTAATTATACAAAATTAACTAAATAGTTGAGAATTAGTCTATTGGAATCTTTAACTAGATCATTATGTGGCGTGCACTTTCTCTCCACGTGTTGGCCAGAAGTTTACCGTCTTATGCAAAAAAACTTCATAATTCTCGAACGAATTGCTGGAGAATTTATGGCCATCTGCAATAAACACATTAAACGTCGACGGTCGCGCGTCAGCGTTAATGAGTTTATTTAAGGGAAAACGCGCGCCCAACTTTCGTTTTTTTTAATGTCAACCCCTGAATGTTCAACTAGAAATGCAAACAAAACTGTCCGAAAAATTCCAATAGGTTTCTAAATGAACAATTTTAAAAGCTTAGCACGGTGTCAGGAATGCTGCAGAAAAGATTGATTTGCGAAACCGAAATGTCGAAGCTTCAATAATAATATTTTTGACAACGATCTCAAGTGGGCTGATAAAGCTTTGATATACACGTTGTTTTGATACTAAATATGGTTGCAATGCAGTACAGAGCTGAAAATTTGGATGCTAACAAATTAATATCCGAAGGCAACAGTGAAAATGCATCATAGGTGCGGTTGAATGAAAAGAATAAAGGAGAGAAACTTTAGATACGCAAAAGCTTGAAAATAGGAGAAACTCACCGGTAACTAGCGATTTGGTATCGCTCGAGTTTATCGGCTAGACTATCCGATGTGCGCCGGTTGCTATAATGCTTCTGCTGCTGGTACTGTTGCTGGCGAAAACGGTGGCACTGGCCGATCCGCTGCCCGCTGCAACACAGGCAACAACGGGCGGCTCCTTGCCAAACAACCAGCATCACTGTCAACATCAAACACCCCGTCTATTCAAATTATTTTTCACTTTCTCACAAATCCCTACTTCTTGGCCTCTTCTCTTCATACTCCTGCATGCATACTACCATATAATGTATTTTTCCTTTGCAGCAAATATCTTTACTCAAGGTATACTAATTCAAAGTCTTGATTCATTTATTTTACCTTTCATCTATATGAAATTTTTATCAATTCTCTTAAATACTGGGCAATTAAAAAAACTTCAGCCTTGGATCTTTTGTATTTTATACGAAAAGCTAATTTATACATCAAAATACCTAACTCAAATTTTATGGACAATGAGTGTTTTATTGAAATTAACATTAAACTAGACTAATCGTGTTAAATTTATTATGTTTTATCTACTTCTATTTATCTCACTATTTTGCTAAGTTACCAATATTTTATGAACTAGAGATACAGAGTAGACTAAATATTTTTAGTTATTTTGAATACTGATTTCTATCTTCACCATTATTTAACAATTAAATAATATTAAATTTACATAATAACAGCAGTTGTTATGGTTTAAATTTACCTAAATAAAGTAATTTAATCAAATTATTTTATTATAATTAATATTGATTAAGTAATAATAACTTATTATCGATACTAGTATTATTATTATATTTAAGATAGCAAAATAACATGTGTTAATTTAATATTATACATATGCATAGAAAACCATAGAAAAATTGGACTTATTTAATCCTTCAAAAGAAATACATAAGCAGTCTCGTTAAACATAACTTATACATGAAAGGCAGTTGAAAAGAAATGAAAATAGGACTTAACAATTTTGTGTTAGTGATAATTTGAAGCAATTAATTATTCAAAGTTTCTGCGTATAATACAAAATGAATTTGTCAATTAACATAATACTCCAATATGCTATTATTAACTATTCAGGTTACTTTACAAATTCAATTTTAAACAAGTATTCTATCAACACTTGACAATTTATATAAATTTTTAGTATAACTTCCAATATTTTCTCAAGAGGTGTAAACGATGAAATCTGACGTTATATCAAGTAACTTTAGAAATATAGAAATAAAAAAATTAATAAAATTTACAGGGTAGAGATAGTATTATAAAAAATCATGAAAGTTCAATGATACCACAGTGTCACACGAAAATAACAAGAATATTTATACATTATGAATGTATGCTCCTACACATACAGCTGAATTTCATATTTTACATGTGTATTATTGTCATAAATAATACTGTTCCAAGACAATAACGGCTTGTATGTACGTAATAATAATAATAACAAATAAACAACGTCGGAATATGTAAATAATAAAAAAATAATAAACTCAAAGTTTCATAGTTGTCAAATATACAACAAAGAAACAATAAAATATTACCTTGCGGCCTTATCAGCTATAAACAGTGTTGAAAGGTGATGAATTAGAACTCTGTTCCGTGGATCACACACACGCGTACGGTCTATCATAAAAAGTTTCGAAAATAGAAAATATGTTAAGCAACACAAGCGAAAATATGAGAAGAGTACACTTAAAGGTGACAAAAAAAATGTCAGGCAATATTTAAACTATCGAGCAATGAGAATCATTGTCTGAACTTGGCGACCAGATGTTCGCTAGGTTTGAGAATCATATGCAAGTCAAGGGCAAATTTTCGGTACCCACAGTTCCAGGTTTTTAAGTGTTGGAAGCGGTCACTTTCGAAAGAATAGATTGCAACCTGCAACTGCTAACAAACACTCAGTGCCGAGACTGTACAAATAATGAAGGTACTGCAGCTCACGTGGAGAGATTAGTCCTTTCTTAACCTTAGCTTTGTGCATTCGGATTTACGTCGGATATAAAATATACTGAACTAAACTTGTGTACATACATTGCAACTTGTAACCAATGAATATAGACGCTTATATATATTCGTTATTATAACTATATATACCACTTCTATCGGCATTGTATGTAGATTTCGTTCCGCGTTCCTCCGTTAAGTTATTCGGAACGGCGGAATTAGGATTGCTAAATAAAATTCGTCACATTTAAGCGTAATAGTAATGATTAGTGAAAAAAATATTTCAATTTACTTTGCTAATTATAAAATTTACAAAAGTCGCGGTAAGATAAATTTTAAAATAAAATTTTAAAAAGTATTTTTTTTATAAAATATGGAACAATGCATTTTTTTAATTGATTGTATTTAAATTTCAAGCCAGTATATCTTTGTGAAAGAGATTGTTAACTTAATACATTATTAAACTTCACAAAAAATTTGTGTATTATATTAATTTAACAATAAATTTAATATAAAGAAATTAAGATTCATTTTTTTAAATATTTTGTATTGTATATTTTATTTAATTATTTGCTGTGAAGATAATTCGTTTATTTCGACTATTTTATTATTATTGCAATTTTAAAATGATAAGGAATGGCAAACAGATAGAGAAATTTCAGCGTAAATGCATAACCAGTTCAAATAAGTAGTATTTACATAAATATAATTAATTTGAACGCTTTGAAAGAGCTTTACAATGAACAGTAACTATATAAGTTAAAGAAGATAGAAAACAAGAATAATAATTAGATCAGAAGTTTGAATGTAAAATGTACGCTTTATTTAATTTTACAGTTTCTTTGTAATCACATGAACGTAACACAAGAAATATTCACAATTATATTTTGTTTATAATATTCTTAATACACGGCCCACGCGTTAGACGTGCTGTTTATTCGAAGAAAGGGACCGTTTGTCCAAAAAACAGGCAATTGGTCAGTGCCGTACTTTACAATAATTATTACCGTAGGTACGTGAAAATAATACCGCTTAAATACTTAACCTTATCCATTCGTTATTAACTTATATTCATTGAGTAATATGCGGCTAGCTTGTAAAACGCAAATTCTTTTGTTCTATGCTACAAAGAAAAACTAATCAAGGCCACCTTGAGTTAAAATATCGATTCATCGTGCTCATCAGACATTTGAAATTTGATGAAATAACAATAAAACTGAATGTTAATTATAATTGCAGAAATACGATGAGACTGATAAGTCAGTTTCAGGGTTGTTAGAAAAAATATAATTTTCTTAATATTTTTGTTGCTCCTTATTGCTCCCTCTCGTTTTCTTTTTACTGACACTATGTACAATTAATAGAGAAGTGCACTCCGTCAAAGAATCCTTGCAATCTTCATACGAGATATTGTATTTTCAATTTTCTACAATGGCAATTATTTGTTGCTGCTGTGCTTTATATTAGCGACTAATTCGTACATACTGGTGATGAAAATAGAAAGCCAGAATATCAAAAGAATAATTAACCTCACGTCAACGAGCACATAGTGACAACTTCAAAGATACATATTCATCTCGATAATTGAATTTCGACGCACGCATTGAGCAGACTTCTATTTAGTGGATACACGGTAGTCTCTGACTTAGCATCATTTCTCTACAAGACTGTACAAGTCCACTTACTTTGCAAAGTTTTAGAAATACAAGAATACATTTTTATTTATCAAAATGACATATTCATAAATCGCATATTTTTAATGCATACTTCAATGTCAAGTATTTAGCATGAGCTGAAACAAAAGCTGATAAATCTTTATTTTTCGTCATATTTATAAACTAAATCTATGTGCTCGTTGTCTTTCCCTATCTAAAAGGATTTGAGTTATTTTTCTAGCGCATGAAAATAATATTTTCAGAATTTAACACTTTGACAACAAAAGACCTGCCTTAGCTCGCTTTTTCAGTTCTTTTTTAATCAGTTTCATTAGTTTTTTTATTTTTCAATCGGATTCTTATTATACTTAACGGAATCACTAGTGGCTATAACACCACGGAAAACCTCGTTATAAAGCATTCATTATAAACTGTCTTTTTTGCTTGGTATATATCATTTTCATCCAGTAATATTAATAAAATGTAAAATATTAATTGTAAATAAAATTATAAAAATTTAGAAATTAATCTTTAGCTATACTACTATTTCTTGTTATAACAATTTAGCTATTTCAACGTCCTTTAATTGATTCTATGCAAATTATTATTAGATATAAAATTCTTGGCAGTGATACCAGAAAATTTTTAAATTAAATTTCATTGTGTTTTTCTATCGCTGATCGTAGAAACGTGTTGGCTTTGGCAGTGTCTCGGATGGAAATACTCGTAAGTATTTAATTATCGCATAACTGAAAAACGTAGCAATTACTGTAGAAATTTGTTATCTTTCAAAAATTTCATTCCACTTTACCGAGACTCAAAGCAGAATGTAAGACTTATCGCATCGTTTTTTTTTTATTTTTTTGGCATATAACGTTTATATCAGACGATAAAATCGAACTGCAATTACAAGACAAATTTACGCTTATTAAATTCATTATTTTTCAACTATCAACAAAAAGTAATATATTGCAAATTATTCTTGCCCCTTTCTTCTCCGAACTCACTCACTCCATATTATATCATTCATTTCGATTATAAAATACAGTATAATCGATTTCTTATTATACAATTTTATTATAAAAAACAAATATTTCTTCGATTATTTTTATTATTTTTCAACTAATTATTTGTTTTATTAATTGCGTTATTATTTATGAGTAAATGTACCTATACGTACACAAATCATTGCGTTCGCGTAATACATAAACATTTGGAAATACAATTGATTGTATTATATATTAAATTTATGTACACAGGTTTACACATTTCACTTGTTTGTTTGCCCTCCATATCCTTTTTATGCTATTTTATATTGTTTTTTGTTCACTCGCGCATTTAATCACACAAAAACTTTATCAATTTGCCTAAAAATCACATTGCCTCGATTCATATTGTACAATTCCGCAACTCGGAACATCGCTTCGACGTAGTTTACAATCATTTACGTTTTTTTCCTTTTATGTTGTTCATGATGTCACATCATATTCTGAAGTCTGTTCATTCTGTTTATTCACAATAAGTAGTAATGCACAGAAATAGTCTTAATTTATGGAGTATACATATAATCAAGTGATTAAACAAATTTTAGTCCTTTTTGCCAAAGTATATTTTTATCAATTATACTTAAATGCTTGTAAGAGTATTTTAAATTTATTAGGAGCTTTAAAGTGGGTCATAATTTTCGTTATCTATTATATTTTTGCTTTCAAATTTATTAATAATATTCACTTAAAAGAGTCAAGTAAGAAGTAAATTTATTTTAATAAATAAAAATATTAGTTAAACGATTTTCAAATTAAAAAATTATATTGAGTCACTTTTCGGCGTCCTAATATATCTTAAGTATATATGAATACTTTTTTTGAATTCGAATCCATAGTCGATAGCAAATTCCGGAACTATATGTACAAAATAGTGGCATAGAAATGTTTGGTTAACTATATAAAACGCGTAAGTATACAACGCAGAAAGGTCCGAAATCAAGGTATCTTGAATATTTAAAGTCAAGCAATTTCAATATTTTGAACAAAATCGATTTAGAGTTTTTTCGACACTCCGTGCGCAAAGTGCGTCTTTCCCGCACGCTCGGCAGAAAACATGCGTTGAAAATCGCACTTTCCACACGTCGTATAAAAAAATACGGAACGGCACATGTTCGGGAAAGAGTTTCTCGTCTCGTGTGGCGTTTACGCCCCAGCAAAGCGAGACAAAAATCTACTTTCCTGCACTTGTATCGTAATGTACTAATAAACACAACTAACATAAATTAGAAAAATATCGATATTTTATATTCGTCAAATGTATATGAAACATGTTCTGTTTAAATTAAATAAAATTAATGACAAACAGATATTTTCATTGAACGAATCTTTCTGAAAATAGCGAAAGATGCTAAAACTATGTGAAAAACCTGATAATTAAATTTTACTTACGTCGAATAACTGTGATAATTTAAAAAAGTAAGTAATGAAACAATTGACCTTTCTAATACTTACAAGACAGTTAACATATCAAGATATAGTTTAGTTTCCACGGCGTAATGAAGTGACCGTGGAGAATATATATCAAGTTTCATAAACGATCAGCCTTAATAATTCAACAGATGACTGCATAAGTCGTTGAAACGCAAAGAGCTACTTTTTATCGTCGTAATCGCTCGATTCTTCCGTTGACTTATAAGTAATTTAATGTTTTTCGCAATTCATATCATGAATATTGATTCTTAACTAAATAATACCGATGCTATTGTTGCTTTTGTCTTTCATAATACTAAAAATAGGAGACACGATAATGCAAATAAAAGATCCAATTCCGGATTTTTTAGCCGCATTGGTGCTGATATTTTTGCGGTCCATCCGGTTTCATCCAATTGACTTTTTACAGATTTAATATAACAAAACCTAGTATTAACTTACAAAATCATACGTATTGTTATATATTACATCGCTTAATAATATAGAGATCAAGTGATTGATCTGGATAGTTTGGTAATACATTATCATTATTTGGCCACCCATTGACTCAAGTTTTTGCAATATTATAGAAAAAGAAAGTATGGATATCTCCTAACATTTAGACGTATTTGTTTTTATTGGCTCATATGATAATAAAAGGCTTAATTCAAACGTTATGCGTCGAGTCGCCAATTTAATCATGTAATTAAGAAAAAACTAATAATGTAATTATAACAATACGCGTTATAGAAATTTTCACGTCATATAAAAACGAATATGATGAAATACATGAAAAAGTTGTTCGCGTACGCGTTTGTTTGAAATCGTAAAACTTATCAACGTTTTAATTGTCGATGTTTAATTGGTTAACCGGAATTGAATCACAACGATTCACAATATCACATGACAATCATTGGAATTATAATAACGATGACACTAACAGGAGAAGTAAATAAAAATGATGAAAAGATGTGGAAAAGTTGGCATAGACGCGATCGGACTATGAGAATATGTACAAAAAGCAAGCGATGAGAATAATAAAGAACGGTAATGTGTACAGAAGTTCAGATCTATGTAAAAATCTGAGAAATGCAGCGCTTGCCAATGAAAAAGCAGAGGAGGCAGATAATGCCTGTGGTGCGCTGAGATTTGAAATCTTGAAAACGGAGTTCATCAATCCGGAGCCGAGTTAGCTTGAGCGAAGGGGGAGGCAAGTTCAGCCTTAGTGGTGCCTCATCTCGTAGGCCGAGGTCCGGGAGCCGGCTGACGGGTAGGCGCCGGTGTAGTGCTCGCTGTGGTGCTGCTGGTGAGAGCCGCTGCCAGTGCTGCCGCGGGCGTAGCTGCTGCTGCCCGGTAATGGCCCACTGGGGTTGCCGCTGTTGGCACTGTAGTGGGTGGCGGGTGGCGCACTAGCTGTGGGAACCGAGCGATATCCTGTGATTCATACATTACACAACATTTCATGCCATCATCGACACCACTTTCTCTTCTGTTCTTTACACTCCACACTGCTTCTCATTCACACTACACCGTGTCGCCAACTGTTCGGTGCAATATCAATGATAAGCCAATATCTCGCTCAAATCACTCTCACTTTATTTATTTTACTACGTTGCACCTATGCTAGCATCCAATTCAAACTACTGTAAACTATCCGATGGCTTGCGCTTGATATTGGCGTGAAGGCATGCAACTGTAAATGCAGGAGTTGAAACGTGCATCGGAAAAGCAGATTAGCTAAGGCATGATGACACAGGTCAAGTAATGATATGATAGAGCACACGACACATCAAAGCAACGTCTCTTTATTTCTAAAATTGATTGACAATGAACAAAGTATAAAGCTCCAGCTCACCTCCGTAGCTTATGGAATGAAAGTTTCGAGTGATACGATGGGCGCATTCAATCGACGCGAGGAAGATGCGTGAATGAAAGAAGACACACTTGTAGTTGGAAGTTGTACAATGAGAATGTAAGTGGGCGAAAGCAGTTTACGAATGATTATGAGTTTATCATGAAAGGAAAAATTACGCAGATAATGATTCGCATACATAATGCTCAAAGAAAATTTAAAGATACTGATTTCTTAATGCAGTTATTCAACATATTGATGGAGAAATCATCAGTATATTCTGAGCATGTAAAACGAGTCAAACTCGATTGATAAACTCGATTCGCCAGTGAACATTTGAGATACGAGCTGACGACGAAACAATCAACAGTTACCTTTGGGATAATACTGGGGACCTCGGCCTTCTCCGTAGCCATGAGAAGGGCCTCGTGAGCCGTGGCCGCCTTGCCACGGCGGTACACTTCGGGCAGCGCCTCCTCCACCCCCATGGTGATGACGCTAGCAAACGAAAGCACAAATTCAATCGCAATGCAGGCACTGGATACGTGAAATCCGGATTTATTTTACCATTCTACGCAGGGTATTCATTGGTCTTCGCAGGGTGTCGCTGATATGCCTGGCCGGTGGCTTTTTGGGATTGCTTGATGGAGTGTGAACGGCACAACACTTGATGAACAATCCCATGAAGATGATAAACACAATACCCATTAAAAGCACGGCCCACCAGTAGTTCTAGAAAGGGAGGAAAAGGTAAAGTGTCGATTGAAGAGGTTCCAAGACCAGTCAGTCCGTTCGAGGTGGCCTACCGTGACCCATTCGGCGACATAGTTAAGGTTAGCCTTGTTGAAGAGCATGTTCTTTAGTCTGGCAAGAGGCCCCTCGGCGTCCACAGCTCGGCACTTGAGAAAGACGTCGCAGTAGCCTTGGAAGTTGTCGCAAGGTGAGCCTGGCCTGAGGCTAATGCCACCCTTGGTCAGGTTAACCAGGTGAGCAAACTCGCTGGTACTACGGCAAGTGGAGGTGTCGGTGCCGTTTTGGCAGGCCAGCTCACAGAGCTTCCGCTTGTCGATGTTGGGTATGATGCTGCTCGTGAGGAAGCATTCGGTGAGGTTCCATTCGAGGCAGATCGAGCCCGTGCACTCGCCATTGATACACAGCTGTGGAAGAAGAGCAGAGCGGTTACGTTAGTGAGCAAGCAAACAGCAAGAGGGTGCTGAGAAGCGGGGCTGGAGACTACCTGAGTTCCCTCGTTGCACCTGGTCTTGTTAGCCTTGGGCTGGGGCGGTGGGCACTCGGAGCTGCGCCCGTTGCATACCGAACTGTAGCTGCAGTCTGATTCAGACTTGCATTGCACGTTATGAGTCGTGGGCACGAAGGAGCAGGTATCGCTAGAGCAGCATGGGCCTTGGCTAGGACTGCACTGGGTGTTCTGGCGACGGGTACAACCCTTAGCCGTCTGGTTCTTGATACGCTCGACGATGGAGACTATCCGCGGATAGCAGCACTTGTCTGCGCACTCGTCGTTGTCGTAACCACAGTCACACTCCTCGCCGGCCTCCACGATCTTGTTGCCGCAGAACGCGCCCGCCGAGGCGTTGAAGCAGTTGCGCTTCTTCGTCTCGACGATCGCGTCAAGCACGTTGCTGATGTTGCCGATGCTGCACTTACTGAATTTACTATTGTTTGGCCGGTCGCCTGAGGTCGCCGAGGCGAACATTATGTAGTTACCGTCGAGGCCGCCAGGCTTGCAGTCTGCCGGGAAGTCGTGCTAGGATAGGCAGGCAATGCGATTAATGCGCATCGAATAGAGCACGGCCCGCGGTGCACGGTGAAGACTTACCGGTGAACCGAAATTGTGGCCAATTTCGTGAGCGAGCGTTAGCTGTGAGACCTTGGGCGGCACGCGGCTATTATAGTTGACGAAGGTGATAATGCCGGTGTTGAGCGAGCGCTTGGTCGACTGGTACATGCCACCGACGGTCTCCGTGTAAGTCTTATACTTCTCGCAGATACCGCCGGAGGCGCCTGAAGCCGATGCAACCCAGGCCAGACCCAGAGTGCCGCCGGTAAAGTCACGGTACGTGAACACGTATGCCAAGCAAAAGTCCTCGTGGTTGCCGAGCGAGTGCAGATTCAGGAAGTTGCTCACGTCGATGTTCTCCATGCAGAAGGGATTTTGATCACCGTAGCTTTGCGGTTGGTTACACGAGCTGTCGTCGTCGATCTACACAGCACGGTATATGGTCAACCAACCGACTGCGTCACTAGACCGCGCGTCTATCGGCACTCATGCTCACCTTTATCCTCTGCACCTCGAACTTGATGTTCCTGTGCTCAATTTTGCCATCGAACTTGGTGTCTCTGTAGATGTAGTTGACGGCAGTCACATGATGCGCTATCAAGGACAAAATCTCCTCTCGAGTCTTTTCCTCGTCGTGATTCACCTAAGTTCGAGAAAATTTATACATTTATTTTATAATATACACAAGGGTCAAAGCCGAAAATTAATTGTAAGAATCATATCACATCAATTTGTCTGGCAGCAATAATTGCTGCTATTGATAATGCCGAGCAGCAAGCGAAGCATTCACCTTATCGCGATAATTTGGCGAATCCTCGGTCTAATTTGACAAACTCGATTGTCATTTCATGACGCTGTTCACACAGCAGTTTTGGATAGCCGATAGAAAATGTAGCGCTTATCAGAGATTGCTTGAGGGGCTTGCCGCCATACCTGCTCAAAAATATGTCGCCAGATGAGCGGATCTGTCTGGATAAAAAGCGAGCAAGTATTTTTGTTTTCCTCCTTGGGTTTGGCTGCTCGCCTCGGGCGCGTTCTCGTTTTCATCCTGGCTCTCGCACTCCAGGTGTCGTCGGCGTGCACCTCATGATCTTGTTGCTGCTCACTGTCAACAGAGTTGGCCTCCTTGCTGTACTTATGGCCGGGTAACTCGGCCGTCGCGTGCAGGCTCTGGGCCGGCGCTAGCGACTCGGATGCCGCCGAGTTTTGCACCCGCTCCATCCAATCCAGCATTTCATCCGTGATGCCGCAGCCCTTTGAGTTACCTGTTGATATCAATCGTTAGCTACTGTCGAGAGAGAGAGAAAGAGAGAGAGAGAATTACGGCGATCGCTCCCGCTGCATTGCAACTAATACAGCGAACGAGATCAACGAGGCGCTTGAATCGTAAGGAAACAAACGCAGCTGCGAATTACCCGTGCGAATTTGCTCGTAAGGGTCCTCGACGTCAGCCTCATGGTAGATGACCGAGTGCTCGGTCTGATTACGCTGCTGCTCGGGGAAGTAGTAGTGGGACTTCTCGACGTACCAGGCTCCATCGTGTGCCGTCACGATCTTGCCGTGAAAGACGCCATTGCTCAGACTGCCAAACACATAGCTGTTGGGCTCACCTGACGAACAAAAAGGGAAACGCGTGAGGATCACGATACTATCGAGTCGGCGACGGTCACCGGCTGCATACCTATGAGATGTCCTTGGTAGACATGCGAGGTATCGAGGTCCTCAGGCTGGTCGCTCGGGCCGACAACTCTGAGGTCGCTGGCGAAAGTTTGTAGATCGCGCTTGAGTCTAAGCCGGAAGTCGCGGCCGTGGGCACGAAACCTGAGCGTCAGCTGTCCGGGACCAGCGCTGGCCGAGCGCTTGGAGCGCACGTGGCTGCGATACACCTCCTCGGCGTCGTACGTCAGCGGCTCGTAGTGACGGATATACTCGTTCAGCCGGCGCGCTGCAATTAGACCAAACATCATCGCGCTGCTCTCGCTCTACTCCACATTCAGTCTGACTTTGGTTGCTACCCTCGTCATAAACGCCATTCAAATGCCCGCCGATTGACTTGCCAATTGGCGACAACCAACGAATTGTCACATTGATCTGTGCTGAGAAAAAGTCACACCGAGAGATTGCAAGTGAGACCTCGTGCGAGGTTAAAGACCAACGTTTCGTCATTCAGGTTTTGTCAAGGCGCAAAGATCAAACACTGCCAAGAATACCTCGTGCAGATCTGTCAATGGCTTTCAGAGTGTAGTTTGATGGATGGAAAGAAGCTGGAAAAGCTCACCAGGACAACGCTGCATTGTATAGGAGCGCTAACAGTGGGCACTCGGCAAACGCACGATAATCCAATAAAGTTAAAATATGCATACTCTAGGGCTAATGCAGAGAGGGAGCAAGTCATTGGTCGGGCTAGTTGTCGTCCGACAATTAGAAGTGATGTTCGTGCAAGTTGGGCAAAAGCGACGATTAGAGCTCATTGGTCTGTATAGCAGCAACGAGTAAAGAGGCGAAGAGGCGAGGGGGGCTTCGCGTCGCTGTATTCCGGCCAGTAGATAAGCGGATAAGGCTTAATGGATGCAGCGGAGCGAAGGCAGCTTAACGTCGCGTCACTGTGCATAACCATTTCATTCGACGTTAACAGCCAAACATTTGGCCGCGATCGCTTGAAAAACTCGTGCAAACTTTGAACAGCACCATATCGATTGTATTGCTATTTAAACAAAGCCAGCTTTACTTTTCAACAAGTGCGCTAATGATAAAATTAGGTAAGCGTGAACGTGAAACTTTAATAATGGACAACGGAGAGTTTGGAGATAGAAGGATCAAACCTTCGACTGTTAATCGATTAACCCGCTGTTTACCTTGCCGATTAATAATATATATATATAGAATTGTTTATATCCTGGATACTAAGCGATTCTCCACGGGCCGAATGGATCGATGAGACGAGTGAGTAAGCAAAGCACTGCACCTACAGAAGCGCTTTGTCTGTAGTGAGTCGACATACTTTTTATTTTTTTTTTAGATCTGCAATAGAAATTAAGCATAAACACAATTCGTGTAAAATCTACAACAGACAACGCTTTGTAAAATGCTCAACAGGTGATCTGATGGCTTCTTTGTTTTTTATCATTCGTAGATCAAATTATATTTTGACGAATAGCAGCCATTGATGAGATACTGCAACCAATTAGGCAGAAACTTGTTTTTCAGCAATCCATTCACGAAAACCTATGATTTGATATTACCCACTGACAGAGATTTGTTCATAAACTTTTTCTATTGCTGAGTACAGATTTCAACACAGATTTTTTTCTCCGTGCCTAACATTCGCGGATTGTCTTCTTTGATTGTGCAATGATTTGCATTAAATACTTATAAAAAGCGAAGTTGAATTAAGTGGTGATGCTGTTCTGTTGTTCAAATCGTACCTAATTTTATGGATAAAGAAAAGGTTTGATTCCTCATTTATCTAAGTGAAACGCGAATAGATCACTGATGCTGGAACTAGGCCTAACAGTGCTGATTCCGTGGAAAATGTCAAGTCTAAACCCATTAATTTGCCTTTAGTTTGTATTTAACCAAGTTTTCTATTAGTCAACTGGCCGATAAGATCAATATCGATTTTACACTTTAACGATTTGATTGCAGTACATGTACAATACCGTATCGTTGACGACTCCGCATGGAGCGTTGAACGATGCTTACCTGAAACAGAAAAGAAACCGACAATCAGTACCTAGTTCAAAAAAGCATTATCGTGTGCAAAGCATCGTGAGTAATAAATGAGATGAATTTGGACGCAATTCAAGATAAGCAGGTACTATAACTTGAAGAGAAACAAGAGCGAGAGAGTAAGAGGGATGCCGTGTGATATGAACATTACGGAAAGAGGGAATTCCGGAGAGAACGCCTTGGAGAGTTTTCCTTTTACGAACAATACGAACAAAAGAGTGATTATATGCAATAGTAATTAAGATTTTCGGGTCACTGTTCTATCAAAAAATTAAAAGAAAAATTATGATGATGTTCTTGGCGAGCAAAGTCAGATACACAATACAGGTGATATAGGTGAATCGAAGAATCCTACTGTCCTGCTGTCTGGTTGGTTACGTGTGCAGACTACAGGTTCTACAGTTCGTAGCTGCATAATTCTGATGCATCTTCGTTTGCTCACTTTTAGCAGCAATCTCCATGTCATCAAGTTTTGCTTTTGGGCTCGACTCCGATTAGACAATGCCCGATGACACTTGTCACGAGGCCATCAAACCTGCAGCAAGTCATTAGTAGCAAGACAATGGCCAATAAGTCGGCCTCAGGCTTTGATGACAAAACATCAGCAAAACATCGATGAATGAGCTTGATTGGGAGAGATCGAAGCAATGTCAATGCAGGAGCGAGCCCACATTAGAGGCATCGAAGGCTGGCGCAATGACGGACCAGCTAGTTTTTTGCAGATCGACAGCTGTGGTGCACGGCGCGCAAAATCAAAGCGAAGACTCTGACCTCGCGTGGCCGACTCGTCTGCTAAGCACGCCGAGTATCAGTCGAGAGGTGCCGCTCCGATGGGTTGGCGACTCGCGAAGCCCATCTGTCGCACGCACCCTGGATTAAGCATCTTCGCGCGGCTCGCTAATGTGTCAGCCAGCCGGCGCAGCCTAACGAACAGATAAAAGGCGCGCTTCATCCCCGAGCGGAAAGAAGACGCAGCCGAGCAGTAATTCATCTTGGCTCAAAGCCAATCCGAGAACCAACAGGAGAATACAGCACTGCTAACTTCACCAACTGACAGCTATCCCCTTCAATGTCTCTTCGCTGCAGGCCAACTTTATCCAATCGCTATTTCGTGAGCATTGGAACATTCAAGCGTCATTGTTACATGCGAAACCGCAGAACTGCATTACCATTATCTATGTCGCCAGTCCTTTGCAATACTGCTTTATCAAGAATCTCTTCGCGATCTTATCAATAACTAGTCTTGTATCAGTTATCTCGGCGTGATCTGAATTTTCGGAACATGTGCTCATGCCCTGATCCATGAATTGACGCAAAATTGTTTCGACGTTTTACATTAACGAGTATTGCTATTATTATTTTGGCGCCTTCCGCTGAAGATCTTTGAGAGTGCTGCCGAAAATTTATAATGACAATCGCTTTTTGCTTATTACGACTCGTTCATTATTTGCTTCAATCGGCCAAGTTGCACTTGTACTTTTGTATATCAAACGATTTCAGTAAAACAACGTTGGACATTGTTGAAACGCTTCCATCAATTGTTCTTTTACTTTGCCAGCTACGACACATTTGATTATATTCAGCTACACAGCTACACTCGTGGTAGTCTCTGGATACCTATTGATACATTTTCTCGATCACGTCACCAAGTCAGTTCGACAAGAAAACGGGAAGTAAGGCAAGGACGCTATTTCCAAGCGCTATCGCAACAAGTATTCTTAACAAATCGGCAACGTTATGAGCGCTCTTCTTTACTGTCAATCGTCTACGACTGTTTCAATACAATATCATCAATATACTCGAACTTGGACTTTCTACGTTCAAATACATTCAGATTCTACATTTCGACATGAGCCTGCTTCTCTAACATTTTTTATCATTTCAAACAAAAGTTCGGCGATTAATCATGCAATCGTTATTTCGATATTTTCTAGAGGTTTCAGTTCAATTGTAAGTTGAATCAACCTTTGGGTTTAATTGAGTCACAGCATAACAAAGTAAAAAGTAAGTCAGAAAGCGTAACGCGATTGTAATCGTACCCGACAAGTTGTCCAACTTGCAAATTTGAAAACTCGCCGATTCAATAGGTCGCAGATCATACTTGAAAAAGGCTCTGTAGGTTGGCAGCGGTCAATAGCTGCTATACACATGTACATGTGTAAATGAGTGGAAGCAGCGGCGGTTCGGCACTCTCGAGCGCCGCTGAATCGGGCTGATTCTTTCACTCACTCACACTCTCTCTCTCTCTCTCTCTCTCTCGCAGCTATATTCTGCTCGCATCGTTACGCCTCAAATGCCGAGCCGAGGCCGTTGCTTCCCCGCACGATGATTCACCATCCTCCCGTGCCTCCCTCCCGGGACTCACTGCGTCTACCGCGCGTAAATTACACCTAGTGATATGCGACGCCGTGCTTCAATATGTTGAATATATTCTTCCACTTCATCCCTTCGATCGGTGTCGTTGACATCTTATACTCTTCTTCGTCGACTTCCGCTACGTATCCTCTCTAGTCGAATTCGCAAGCTCGGTGATTAACTGCCATCTGACAACTGACAATTTCTACTTTATACTCAACAAAAACCGCCTCACTGACTATCACCGTCTGCTCACCATAAGTATAGACGATGTTCGAGCTACCTGTCACTTATTTCTTGCTTTAATTTATCTACTCAACGTTTTCTCCATTCAGCAATTTATCATTTCGCGATATTCTGCTGTTAATGTTAACAGCAACTCATTTTTCTTGAGATTTCTATAATCAACTGATCCACTGACTAGATTTCTCTTGCTACAAGAGAAATTCCTTTTCGCCAGGAAATATTCTTGCCACAAGAGGAATCTTCTTACAAGAGGATTTTTTTCCAGTACATATTATATGTAATTAATTTTTGCCATCATATTTATACATGTTTATATCATATTATATCATATTTATACCTTAACTACACTTTTCATCTAAAAATCAACATTTTTTCAATCAATTTCTTATGAATATAATTATCCTTTTCTATTTGTAAATACTACAAAAATATTATGTAATTTTAATATTCAGTTTGGAAAAAAACACTAGTTAAAATAAATTATCTATACAAACTTAGTCTGTAAATAAAAACAAGGTTTAATTCACTATAAGACCCATTACTGGTACAGCATATAAAAGTGGTTTGAAAATAACAATTATGTGTAAAAGCAGTTGATTGCAGTGCTTTAACAAATTTTCTTCTGTTATCTACCACTTTTTTACTGCTACATTTGAGAATCTATCTTCGATTGAATCATTAAGTTCTAAAACTTAAATTTTTTACAATTATTCTACAAACATAAATCTTTTATCATTAGTTTTTGTTCATATAAGTTTACTGTTATACTTTGAATAAAATTAGCTATTCAATATTTACAAATACCCACCATAGAAAAACATACTGCATTTATAGTCAAATGATTGAATTGTAATAAGAAAAGAATAAAAGTGTTTGGAAAATAGAGGTAGTATAGAAAATCACAACAACGTTGATAGTCAACAATTGTAAAGAAATGTAAGGGTACTAAACAGCATTTTTAATTTTACATGATTACTGTGTTGTGAAAAATAATTACAGTAAAAATATTATACTTATTTAATAGATACCCAATACACACTTATCAAATAAAAATGAGAATATCTATGAAAGAAACAGTAAATAACTGATCAGACCTACGAGAAAAAGACTGTCAGGCTATGGAAAAATATTATTAGGATAAGAAACAGCTGAGAGGGTAACAAGGTGCTTGTTGCTATGCACACATTACAAAAATAGACTGTTCTCTTGTGTCACAGTACATTGAGATCTAATGATTTCGAAATCGCGCGGAAATTTAGTAGATAGGTGATATCCGGAGGAAGTGGAAAGATACGGAAAGGGTGGACGACCCTATCGGAGCAACAAAGGTCATAGCAGCAAACGCGTGTGATGATAAGTTTTAAGACAAAAACGCGAAAACAAAGCGCCAAGTGAGAGGGAGAGAGACGAGATACGAACCGCTGTCGATGTAGGGTACAAGCAGCAGGAGAAAGATGAAAAAGGCGCAGCTATCGGTGGCGAACATCGTCTGGACAAATCCTCGTGGCACGCGAGGTGCCTAGACGGCTCGCAGCTCGAGCTGAAGGCGTTGTTGCGCAGACCGTGGCACTAGTCGCAGACTGACGCGCGCGGAGAGCGCCGTCGGAGAGCAAAGCTTAGCACAAAGTAAACACGCACACACACGCGAAAGCGAGGAGCGACGACGGGCTGGATGTTAGCCGTCCGTCGGGGTTGTTGCACCAAGTCGCGCAGCACGGTGTGTCACACGCTCGTTGCGACAAAAGAGCCTGCCAGTTGTAACTAGGCAGGGGCTCACCGGGCGATTCCAATGCCACACTCAACGCAATCGCGTCGTGACGGCGACCCGGGGTGACGGTACTCGCTCGAGCCTGCTGCAGCTGCCAACTAGAGTCCGCATCGCTTGCTACCCGTTTGACCCCGCTTACGGTCGTCCGCAGTGCCCGTCCCCGCGAGCACGCACTCACAACGCAGCACCGATGCGATGCACTTTCCACTGCCTTAAACCAGCTTAGAAACCGACTGCAGTCGCACGCCCCACACTCCGCGCTCCGGTCGCGATCACCAGCGCTACAGCTTGCACAGCCCACTACACGACTACCGACTATTCCATCGCACTCCGCGCGGCCCAGCCGCTACTATCGCACTCGTAGAAGTTGCAGTTCTCGTAGGAGACTTTGCGCCTCGCGGCTTCTTTCTTTCGCTCTTCGCTTTGTCTCGCTATCGTGTCCTACCTTCTGTGCTTAGCGTGTCCTATCTTACGTTGACTCGTAGTCGTAGTCGCGGTCGCGGCTACAGACAACGCCAAGCACTGCTAGTGCGCTCTATGTTAGTATGTTGTGCATTCATGGAGACTGTACAATAAAGGAGGCGCAATGTCATGTATAATACTTCGCGGCCGTTTCGTTTGAGCCAGGAACCTTGGACCTTCAGCGCCTCTACCGGAGATTACCTACAAACATAACTTACCGGCGGATTGTCCAACAGCAAGCAGCTCTCTCTCTTGTCATATAATTACTTAATATACTGTCAAACGACATTTACAGAAAAAATATGAAAAAATTAATTTAGGTTTATAATACCTCCCCTCATGAATATAACTCTAACCTCTAAATTATAAACCCTTGGAAGCATTCATTAAATATATGCTGCGTTCAAATCTATTATTACTCTTATTACTGTGATGCTGCGTGTCATGTGTGACTGTGTATGAGCAGTTAGCTGTAACTGTAAGGTCATGATTGAAAAAATAATGAATAAATGGACTGAATAATTCAAAACGAAATTTGAAAAAAATTTAGAAAAATTGACTACTTCGAAAAATTCTTCACTTCATCTAAAATACTAATCTAAAGGAAAAAATGAGCCCTTTAAAACTGATTTTTGTTCTATCACTCTAACGTTCAGAAAAACGTGACAAATCAAACTTTTTCAAAAAATATCGTGTTACAGGTAAGACGACTTTCATGGACCTCAAAGATGACTGGAGACTTAAAAAGAAGAAAATATAAGCATTTACCGTACTTGATGATAAAAAAATATACATGATAATAATTTTATTAGAATTATTTCTACACCACAGTAAAAAATATAATTTTTACTATTTAACACCATCTGATCCCCGTAATCAATTCTGATCATGTATGAACTCTGACATAGTGATCACTTTATGTACGGTTTGTGAAAAATGCCATTAACGTTTCATATTTATTATTTGTGTGAAAAGGGGAACATAAATCCAAGATTATAATAAAACTATTTTACAGAAGGTTTCATTGATATACATAATCATTTATTTGCTGTCTCGACAATTTCATCACAGCTTTGAATTTTTTAAAAGTCCTACGGTGCTTACATTTCTAACGATATCTCTAGTACAAGAAAACTATTTATTTTTTTGATTTTATAAAAATAGTTTATAACTATAGAGCAATTGAATATTAGATTTTATAAACGCTTTTCTTACGTAATTTATACTACTTAAATATAAATAAAATTTGAACAATATTTTAGTATAAATTTAGTAGTAAACATTATCGGCACGTTCAAACTTGACTATATTTTTATATTTACACATAAAAAATATCAATTTTTTAAGATGTTTTTGAAATTAAAAACAATTTTTATTTTATATTTTTACGAGTTTTTTCAAACATAAAATGCATGTAATAAATTACATTTTTCATTATTCTTTATAGAAACAGTTTATTCAATTTTTTTCAAACATTGCATGTTTGTTACACATATTAAAGTTAATATTTTGCTAAATTTTTTTAATTTGTCAAAATATTAATTAAAATGATTCATATTTTGAATTTTATTATTATTAACTTTTGAAAGAAAAGGTAAAATTATTTCCAAAAGCTTTTGAAAGCTAATAACAATGGCGAGGTCTAGTTTTTTTTCAATATGTGTCAAACTTTATTAGAAATTAATAATATAAGATAAAAAAGAAATAATATTATTTTTTATAAGGTTATTCACTTTTATTTGAAGCAATTGCAAATATCTCAAAAAGTATTTTTTTTTATTTTGCTTCTAAGTGTTCTCAGAGATTTTTTCGCCACGTGATCTGTCGGTTTGCTCCCCATCACTCTCCCACCGCGCCCCATCAGCTTACTGAAAATTCCAGTGACCCACTTACATTCGATAACGCTTTTTATTTACTTACCATACTTCTACAAACACAATATATTTTACCTATGAATGTATTCGGTCTACTATGGTTGTGACACAAAATTTTTTTTTTGTCTCGCTAGGAACCTAATTTGTTGAACAATAGTCTGTCAACTTTAAGTCTATAACTCCCCTGCGTGTTAACAGATTTTGAGAATTTCAAAAAAATGAAAGCTTTTATAATAAACTTTCAAAAGATATAATAAAATATAACAATATCACACTCTTAAGTTGATTATTTCATTTTGCAATTAAGGAAAAAAAATTCTCTAGGTTGTGGTACAAATTTAGAAATATTAAATTAAATTTATGTATTTCGACACATTATTATGATATTTTAATCCCGTCTTTCAAATAAAAAGATGACCGGATGTTAAGAAGCCTTTAATGACGTCATACGACTATAGATTATTGGAATTAAATAAATTTCTTCGAAGATCAACGTTATATATTAAGGCTTTTATAAATATTTAAAATAATTGATTTATTTAAACATAATTATGTAATTCTGATAATAGTTAAATCGAAAACTATAAAAAAACTAATTCAAATAAAGAAGATCGGAAATATTCGCATCAGAGCCTCTATTAATCAGTGACGCAAAGTGCAAACCAAAAATTAAATCGTCTATATTCGTTGCCCAAACCATGAGATAAGCTGTAGTCTGCTCTCGTCTGCTGTGCCGTAAAATTTACATCAAATATATGTAAGTTTTACATTATTCTGTTATGTTTTAATTAAAACATAATTATAATTCAAAGTTCTATGTCTGTATCAAATATCACTTCGATATTCATCATTTTGTACAACTTTCATATAAAACGGCTTATTAAAATTCGTACGTAACAGTACCAAAAATAATTTTAATTTGGAAAATTAGAAGAAGATTATATATCATCTATATAATAGAATATTTACATCATAGAATATAATCTATAATCGTCATAAATGTAGACTATATTGTTCACTGATTTATTTATTTAAAAAATGCCGTCATTTCAATGTGTAAGTTGTTTATTGTGCAAGTTTGTATTATTTTGCGAGGTTAAGAATATATACTTAATTTGCACAATAAATCACTTCTAATGATTAGATTAACGATATTCTTACAAGTATTTACTCAGCAAACAATATTATCAACATTTAAGACTATAACGGATGATATTTCTTTCAAATTTTTAAAATTAAATTGATTTTTTATAGTGCCAATCTAAATAAACTGTTTTACATAAATTGAAATATAATTTGATTTACAAAAGTTCTATAAAGCAATAATCGAAGTAATATTTACTACTGACGTAAAATTTTGACTTGTAATTAGTATTACGGTGCAGTTAAATATAGCGATAACAAAACTTATGCATATTTCATGCAAAATTTCAACAGTTTCAGCAGAGCAAATATATATAAGACCCCGGTCCCATAGCTATTTATGAATGCGGACGGATAATCGCAACTCTAGTAACATCACTAAAAATATCTAGTTCGATTATTTAGTACCAACACTACCGGTAGTGAGCAAAAGTAACTGTTGTTTAAAACTGTAGCGCCGAACGTACCACATTTAATGTTCAAATGTCAGGTCTACAATTTACTTTTCAAATTCTCATGAATATTGCTTATTGATGAGTATGCTAATGTAAAAAAAGTTTTTGGGATGATTAATACATATCATTTATATATATTTTCTTGTTCTTCTCATATATTCAAGTACTTCCATAAAATTAAGGCCTAATTCCACTAATTGTAGTTGAAAGTCTATCAATTCTCTATCATTTGCCATCTTATAGACTGCAATAATGTAAAGGTTAGATAAGCGTTCATTAAATGTGCTACGTTCGGCGCTACAGTTTTAAACAACAGTTACTTTTGCTCACTACCGGTAGTGTTGGTACTAAATAATCGAACTAGATATTTTTAGTGATGTTACTAGAGTTGCGATTCGCGTCCGTATCCGTCCGCATCCGTACGTATCTATGGAACCGCCAACCGGGGGGCCTATTCTGAAAAAAAATTTTGTGGTAAATCAGTTTGTCACTTCAGTTTACCACAGAATTAATCACTTTAGATGTAATAAATGCTTATGACATGTGCTAAAATTTTTTTTCAGAATAGGCCCCGTGCTAAAATTTTTTTTCAGAATAGGCCCCCGGGGCCTAACTACACTCGCGACTTGCGCCACTACCGATAGAGGCATTGCGTTGTGACTCAAACGGGTAACGCGTAAAGGCAAATAAACCTGGCATTCATAGAAATAAAATAAATGGTTACTGGTAACGCAAACGGCAAACTAAACTTTTTTAATTCGAATAGGTGGCAGTGTGACTGACGGTTGCTTACTAATAGTTTTTGATTAAAAGAACTAATGTTCTCCAGAAGGGGATGTAATTAATTTTTAAATTTGCTGATCTATTTGGTGTTATAATTAATAGATTTACACACAAATTTCTTTTACGATTGATTGACATATATTTGTAATTTTTTAAATATTAGCGAGTATTTTTATACACCAATTGTACACTATTAAATTAGATTTCCAATTAATTTAGCATTTGTAATGACCATTAACAATGAGCAAGGTCAAATATTTTATTATATTGTAATAGACGTCGAAAGAGATGTTTACAACCCTGGATAACTTTACTTTGCAATGTTGATAGTACGGTCATGGGACTCATTAAAATGATATTTTGGAAAAAACACTTAAAATATTATTGTTAAAAATTATGTTGACAAAGAAATTTATAATGAATATAGTTAAATTTCTTTTGAACTTCGTTGATAATTTATTTTTACTAAATCTTTCATGTTGTACATACGTGTTCAAAAATTTGAATCATTACGAAAATCCAGTAGTTTTTTAAAATAAAAAAGCGGTTTTCCTCGTCACATATATCAAAATTGATACATATATTTTTGGAACGTTAACAAATAATGTAGCATTAAAAAAATAGAATTTTCGAAAATTCAACAGATTTTTATCGATCAAATGAAGTTCTACGTTTGTTCACTTGGAGGTTATGAGTTTTTTCTCGATAAACAAAAATACATATCGAATTTTGACAAAGACATAAGAAATCCGATACTCTAAGGAGTTCCTCCAAATTTTTTCGCTTCGATCTGTCAGTAGTCGTTACGAGCAAGATGTAAACGAACAGTATCGCTTATTTTATTACTGCGCGGGGTCCTCTTCAGCACAATAGCAGTCTTATGAACATCCTTAAGCCAGTATTTTTTTATTGATATATTTATTTATTTTGTATGCTACCAGATCATCATTATTTTTATCATTTTATGACAAATTTACTTTGTATTTGATTTAATTTTTTTACATAAACTCGACTCGAGTCATGAGCCGCGTATTCCGATAGGTGGGATGAAGGCAGCTGTACATACCTGTGAGATGAATGAGATGAACCACGTTTTCCGGTCTATACCGTTTCTCTACTTTGTGGTTTATGTTTTTCCCGCCAAACACGATGCTAGCAGCTGAAATTTCGCTCCAAGTTCCAAGCAGCTGAGCATCCCACAGTTGCGTGGGCATAAATTAATTTTAATACAGATATTTAAATAAATTATAAACTCGATTAAATTAGTATAAATATGGATTTAGGTGATGTACCTGCTCGTCAAGCTAAAGTTCGAGATGATGTGGGTATTCAATGTCAAAAGATCTTCCAAGACTTTCTCACAGAGTAAGTATTTCTACTTCTTTTTAATTTGATACCTTTCAGAATAATGTTTTTGTTCCTGTTTCTGTTCATAAATCTAGTGATAAAATTTGTTTATATATTTCATCAATTGTTAGATTAAATTATACTATGGTTTTTATTAAATTGTATTAAGTTGAACTTAAATAATATTATTTAATTGATTTAAAAATGGTGTAGATATGTTTTTTGTATATTGTACAGAAAATATCAATATGATTTTTAAATTGTGCCTTATCAACAATATTTTGTAGGTTCAAAGAAGATGGAGAGATTAAATATCTTGAACCTGCTAAAGATTTACTTAGTACGGAAAGGAGTACTTTGGAAGTATCTTTTGAAGATGTAGAAAAGTATAACCAGAATCTTTCTACAACTATAATAGAAGAGTATTACAGGTAGCTAAACTATAACCCTTATTGACAAATTATAATTTTTAAAAATTATTTTATTTTATTATTAATATTTCTATTTTACTGCATAACTACAGTGTCATCCAATTAAAATATATTATTTCCACTTTTTAAACATAACTTGATAATTGACAATGAATTTGAAATGTTTCAAATTTAGTATAGATATCAATCACGATAGATACTTAATATATCAGAAAAAACAGTAAAATTTATATTATTGCATGTTTTAATTAAATGTTCATTTTTAGAGTTCGCCCTTATTTGTGTCAAGCTGTTAGTAATTATGTTAAGGATCATGGAAATTTGACAAAAGAGAAAGAATGTTTTGTAAGTTTTGTTGATGTACCAACGAGACATAAATTAAGGGAGTTAACTACATCGAAAATTGGAACCTTGATCAGAATCTCAGGCCAAGTAGTACGCACTCACCCTGTACATCCAGAATTGAATCTTGGAACATTTTTATGCCTTGATTGCAATACACTCATCAAAAATGTTGAACAGCAATTTAAAGTCAGTTTTAAGTATAATACTAATACTAAAAGTGTTTTTTATTTGTGAAAGAGCTTGTAAATTATCATTTATACATTTTTTAGTTTACCAACCCAACTATTTGCATAAATCCTGTGTGTGCCAATAGAAGGAGATTTCTATTAGATATGGATAAATCAGTCTTTATAGATTTTCAGAAAGTTCGAATTCAAGAAACTCAAGAAGAGTTACCACGTGGCTGTATACCAAGATCACTTGAGATTATTTTGAGAGCAGAAGCTGTTGAAACTGTTCAAGCAGGTGATAGGTGAGTTTTTCTCTATCAATATTATAGACAAAAATTTTATTGTACAATTTATTTCAGGTATGATTTTACTGGAACTTTGATAGTAGTACCTGATGTTGGAGTGTTGTCAATGCCAGGGGCCAAAGCAGAATTAGGTTCAAGGCATAAACAAGGAGAGCAAGGAGAAGGTATCAAAGGATTGCGTGCTCTTGGAGTGCGAGATCTTAATTACAGAATGGCTTTTTTTGCGTGCAGTGTTACTCAAACAAGTCAAAGAGTACGCTTCACTTTCCTAATAGTATATTACAACTATATATTAACTGTAATAATTTCACTGCAACTTATATTTGATTTAATTTGTTAGTTTGGAGGAACCGAACTAGGATTTGATGAACTTTCTCAGGAAACTATGAAGAAGCAAATGCCTACTGATGAATGGAATAAAATTTATGAAATGAGCAGAGACAAATATTTATATCAAAATTTAGTTTCAAGTTTATTTCCGTCTATACATGGCAACGATGAAGTCAAAAAGGGAGTTGTACTTATGCTGTTTGGTGGAGTAGCTAAAAGTACAACTGAAGGAACAGCATTGAGGGGAGACATAAACATTTGTATTGTGGGTGATCCTAGTACAGCAAAGTCTCAAGTTCTCCGACAAGTAGCTGAAATATCTCCTAGAGCTGTGTATACCTCTGGAAAAGCATCAAGTGCTGCTGGTTTGACTGCTGCTGTAGTCAGAGATGATGAGTCTGGAGATTTCGTTATCGAGGCTGGTGCTCTGATGTTAGCTGATAACGGCATTTGTTGCATAGACGAGTTTGATAAAATGGATCCAAAAGATCAAGTTGCTATTCACGAAGCCATGGAGCAGCAGACCATTTCAATTGCTAAGGTCAATATCAAACATTTCGAAAATATAATTTCACTTCTTTGAGAATGGTTTATTTAGTGATCAATAATATTTTATTGTACAGGCTGGGGTGAGAGCTACTCTCAACGCCCGTACGTCGATCCTTGCAGCAGCAAATCCAATAAATGGACGTTATGATCGGTCAAAGTCATTGCAGCAAAATGTGCTATTAACGGCTCCAATTATGTCAAGATTTGATCTCTTTTTCATATTGGTCGACGAAAGTAACGAAATTATTGACAATGCCATCGCCAAAAAAATCGTTGATTTGCACAGCAACAATTCAGCCACGATCGAAACAGTTTACACTCAAGCCGAAATTTTACGATACATCAATTTCGCCAAACATTTTAAACCTATGATCAACGCTGTAAGTGATTATACAATTTAGGTGAAATTCTGAAGAGTAGTTAATGAAAACAAATTCGATTGTTTTAGAGCGCTGGAGAGCTTCTCATAAAAACTTATACTGATTTACGACAAAGGGAAGGCATGGGAGGGCGCAAATCAACTTGGAGAGTAACAGTTAGGCAGCTGGAAAGTTTGATTCGTTTATCAGAGGCTTATGCGAAATTGCAGTGTCTAGACGAAGTGACGGAAACGCATGTGAACGAAGCTCGTCGTTTATTAAGCAAAAGTATTGTTCGAGTTGAACAGCCTGATATAGATCTCGATGAAGGCAATAACGATGAAGACAGAATGGATGTTGATAACCTGGCAGTTAATGGAATTGACAATCAGACTTCAAATGATCATGTCGATAACGACGGTGACTCAAGCCAAACAACTCAGCCAAAGAAAAAACTTACCATGTCTTATGAAGAGTATAGAAGCCTCACAAATATGCTGGTGTTGTACATGAGAGATGAAGAATCGCGAATTGAAAAAGAAGGTATACGAATCGACCATTTATTTTCTAATGATGAATGATTTTTTAATATACAACGAAATTGATTTGCATTTTATTTACAAAAGATACTTTCAATGAAAGATTTTTTGAGTAAATTTGAGTGAAATATCGATTGTTTCTTGTTTTTTGTAGATAGAACTGAAGAAGGCGTTCGAAAGGAGGAAATTATTGCTTGGTATTTGGATAAAGTACAGGATCAAATCGATACAGAAGAAGAATTGTTAGAGAGAAAAGGTTTGATCGATAAAATAATTGATAGACTGACGTACAATGATAAGATTCTGATTCCACTAACATCAGATAAACAGGATGAGAATCCTATACTTATTGTACATCCTAACTACATTATTGACATTTAAAATTTAATTTGAGCTTGTAATGCTAGATTGTATCGGTTGTAACATAAGCCGACGAAAAGCTTGTAGTTCATATTTTTACATTTTTATAACTGTAATTTAAGGTGGCTTCACCAAATTTTGTCTTCTGACAAAATTGAACAAAACTTTTTATATGGATTGTATTTTGCACAAGTTTTCGAATTCTGTAAAAATAAATGGAGGTTATTGATCTAAATAAGGAGAAATAAATTGTCAAATTTGAGTCATTATATATTGCTGACGTAGGTGGGTAGGATTGCGTGTTTACATTTCCTGTAATAATTTTAATAATAAATGACAGATTCTTTCCAAAAACCACAATGTTGTTCAATACAAGTATTAAATTAATATTTGAAAAGAAAAGTACTGGTCATCGAACTAATAAAAAAGATGTTGAAGACAAACATAACAAATTATTGCATTTTAGAGACAAAGTCATAAAAATAGCGACATGAAAAAAATTTTTTTTCGATAAATTTCCACTATTAAGTATGAATTCGTTTATGAACGAGCGATCAAATATAAAACTATTTTGAATAAGTGTTTGTTGGAAAGATGTCAATTTTATGAAATCCTCGACGGTGGCCCGATGTGATACAGCCTGGCCTGGTGGAGTTATCTTAAAACTATCTTTTAGTGTTAAATCGTAAATATCACATTATTTTGAGCAAAAATCTACACTATGCAGACAAACTTAATTCATTGTTACATTTTACTAAATTAAATAAAAATTTTTTTTAATAACATTAAAAATACAGTTTGATGTTTGATTATTTAGCTGACGATTCATTATACACCTTTTACAAAGATAATATTGATGTACCGCGTTCGTGTACCCTATTGTGTACATTCAAATTAATAGCAATGCTTTTGAATTCGGAGCGAAAAATCGCATTGGCTGATACGCTAATCTATTAACTTATATAATTCATCTATGCAAATGCGAAAGTTGTAAATATGTGCGCATCTACTTGATTCTAGCTGCAACTAGAATGCATTCCAATGCCGAATTAATTATTTGAATGATAAGATTTTTCGTACGTAACTATCAAGTATTCAATACAAAAAATGATAAGACCATGAAAAAAAGTTGACGCGTCTGCACCATTGGCAGCAGCTGGGAATTTTTTACGTATCGATGTAGCGATTTTGAATTCTCGGTTTTCTAGTCTGGAGCTGAGTATTATCCCGTATGAATGTCCCGGCTAAAAACTTTTCATTCTTAAATATTTTAAACCGCTCAATCTGAACGCACAACTAGGTTTTACAAAAATGTCATACAAATTTACTTAAACAAATATTGAGCGACTTAACATACTTAAGAAAGAAAGGTTCTATGACGAGTCATTCTAATTGCATATCGAACCTTCGCCAGCTTCTTTAAGTTAGGCATTTTGAGAAAAATCACTCCTCTTGAAATCGTTGTACCCTGAGAATGTTTTTTCAATACTATTTTCGTTTCATAATTTATGATCGAAGTTGTTTTTATCTGCTTAATTTCGTACAACATACGTAATATTATTTTTCAAATCATTTTAACAATAACATTGAAAATATTATTTGAGCAAAACTATAAACAAATTTTTCAGCGTTAATTTTCTAAAAGTTATTTTTTTTTATATTGACTCACAAATGTTTATGATATATTTTACGAAGTTTATAATAAGTATGATTACGTTGCCTGGATTGTTGAAAACAATTCGATAATTAGTAAACAGTAATAGGGAAAAGAAATTTCAACAGTAAAAAGAAGTAATGGACTTGCGAGCAAGCAATATGATATGAAATAGCTAAAACGGAAAGCAGGTAACGAGTAACGCGTAGAAACAAGCAAACTTGAGATTGTTGCTTAATCTTAAGCTTGTTGCAGTTCTCGAATATAACTATTCTATTGTCACAAGAACGATGAAATGGTAACATCGAGCTGCGAATCGAGCAACAATAAGTCACCTAAAGATGGAATCCAAATGGGTGGAAGTCATAAATATGCAAAAAAACAATTGATACTAAGAAAAGAAACTAGGTACAGAAAACACATATGGCAAATACTTATGAAGACTTTATAAAACAATGCGTAGATGAGGAAATGTAAGTTAATAATTACGCAACAATTGTGGAATGAAGGCGATTTACGCACGTGTCCGTGATTACCTACTTTTCGCATAAGCTGCGGAAGTTGGATTTCTGCCGAAAAAGGTTTACAATGACAAATGAAAAATGATATACGTTAATTTTGTAAAGCAAATAACGATATATAACTATACTTGAATTTTAGCATTTTTTCTATATTTTGCGATCTGAAAAATAATAATTTTCGTGAAAAAAGGATTAGATAAAAATTGATTCTTAATAAATTATCTGAAATAAAGTCAATAAAGGTACCAATTCAAAACTATAATTTTACTTGTAAATTAAATAAAACATGATTTTGAAAATGTTCCTTTTCTTAATTATTTGAAAAAAACGAATGTAGGACATAAGAAGAAAAAAGCTCAAGTTTTCACAGCAGTTAAAGATCAATTGTTTCTTGACGAAGCATTAGATCATGATTATTTGATCATGAATAAATGATGAATGATTGATCATGAATAATATATAATTTATTACGTAACATACTGTCTTGATTCCCTTATAGTTTTCTTAAATGATAAAATGTGTAATAATGGAAAGAAGGGAAATAGTGAGAGCTGGAAATTCACTTAATTTTAATTATATTTAGCAACGTTTCGTCAGCACATTTTCTGACCTCTTCAGGCTTTATTAGCAGAAAAACAACAAATTATTAACAATAAAGTTGCAAATGTAATTTTAATGGCAAATAATTATATGTATATGTTTGTACCTGATTTCTCTCGTAGTCAAATTATTATAGGCTAAAACGAATAGCTCGTAGCCAGTCACGTTACAATACAGTAAGAAATCAAGTATTTAAACACATATACATACATTCTTCATCTATCATCTCTTCCTCATCGATCTTAATAAAGGCTTATAAATATGACTAAGGTATTGTATATCCTCTTTTCTATTTAAAGTGTTTTTATGTAAGCCGATGTGCAACATTTCGGGTATTCTGCGTTTCTTATAATTCTTTTCATAATCCAATATCTTAGCTTTCTCCTAGTCAAATTCGTGTGAGAGAGTTCTTCTATGTGTAGCTACTACTGTATCTGAGTCAATGTTTTTTTTTGTGTTCATTTAATTCAATTTTTAAGGATCGCTTACTTTCACCTATGTAGACCGCTAAACATTGTTTGCAGTTAAAACCGTAGACAATACCAGTGTTGTCTAATAAATCAGATTTGTCTTTTCCTAAACGAATGAACTCTTGTAATGGTTTTTGTAATAAAGGGATTGGAGTATGTTATGTTTTTTTAACACAGAAGAACATTTCATAAAGATGTTGCAATTGTTTGGAATAGCGACTCTAGGTAGTTTTTGATTTATTAATTTTTTATATTTGCTAATCCGTTTGTGTATGTGTTTTTTGATACATTCAGATGGATAATTATTTTTTTTCTGGATATTAGTAACTATTTTTAAATTGCGTGAACGAAATTTTTTGTCAGCAAGTAAAAACACCCGGTCAACTAAATTTGAAACTATATTAACTTTTTGATGAATTGTATGTTCTGACTTAAAATTCAAAATTCTGTCAGTTTGTGTTGTTTTTCTAAACTAGTCAAATTCTAATTTATTATTATTTCTTATCAATTTTAAGTCGAGAAATGGAATAAAATTATACATTTCAATTTCAAATGTAAATTGTAATCTATTATGATAAGAATTGAACGTCTCAAGAACTAAATCAATGTTATCTTTCGGAATGCACATCAAAGTATCATCCACATATCTATAGTAGAAAACAGGATTAATTTGATATTTATTCCACATTCTTTTTAGCCTATAATAAATAATTTGACTATGAGAGAAATCAGATACACACATATACATATAATTATATGCCATTAAAGCTACATTTGTAACTTTATTGTTAATAATTTGTTGTTTTTCTGTTAATAAAGCCTGAAGAGGTCAGCAAATGTGCTGACGAAACGTTGCTGAATATAATTAAAATTAAGTGAATTTCCAGCTCTCACTATTTCCCTTCTTTCCATTATTACAAATTTTATCATTTAATGTTGTCCCTTTAATTCTAACAATCCCTCAATATTGATAAAAACATCGCTACAAAGCCAGTCAAATTTCAGAAAGCATTAACTTCTAGTACCGGAACTGAGGGGCTACTTAAACAATGTTGATAATATTCGAATAAAATAGAATATTAATAATACTATTAATCGAGTAGAATCGAATGTGGGAAATGAGTGTCCTCAACAGCCTCAACTAAGCTCACCGAAATCACTATACATCGTGAAAATGAATTTTCAATAAATATCAACGACCACGGCGATTCAATAACGGTGAATGTGTCGGACATGTTGATCCCCGAAAAAAGTATAACTTTTAATTTGAAAAACTGTAATGTTACAATTAATAAAATCTCAAAATATGTGAATTTGATTAATATATTTTATAAGCGAATAGTTTTATATTTGAATTAAAATAAGTTTAATGTTATTGTATAATAAATAAATATAATACAAATAAATAAAGCCCAATGGTTTCACACAACAAAGTATATGACTACCACGCATAAGATTGCCACTATTATTTTGTTTAAGGATTTTCAAATAGTTCTAATGTTTCAAAATTAATAAATTTCGTGGAAGAAGTTTTAGTTATAAGTTGTTTCTTAATGAATTATCTACAAAAAATGTCAGTAAAGGAAGCACTCTAAAATCATTATTTCAAAGTAGTTCATTGCCTTTTCCTTGCATCTGTCATTTATTATTAAAATTATTTGAAGAAATGTAAACGCGCAATCCAACCCGTCTAAATTATCGATATATGACGATTCAATTTGACGTATTATTTCTCTTTATTTAAATCGATAACCTCCATTTATTTTTACAGAATATGAAAACTCGTGCAAAATACCATATCCATATAAAAATTTTAGTTCGATTCTGTCGTAAGACAGAACATGGACAAAATTAAGACAAAAATTACATATCAGCAGTAACGTAATGTCTTTATTGTTATTTGTAAGTTTTCAGTATACAATTTGAAAATGAATATCGTATCCTCTTGAATTTCTTTCAATGTATATAGATGAAACCAATTCTCTCTTTGCATATTTTTATATAAATACTAAACCTGTTTCAAGAACAATAGTGTGTACGCTTAAATTATATTGTATGCTATTACAGTGCACTGAAATTTGATAAGAGAGGGGATGTAAGGGTTGGCCTTGCCGGTTATGTACGGTCCTGACGGGTAATTCTCTCACCGTAAGCTACGTCGTTGACGCGCGGGCTTGTAGCTCGCGCGTAGTTTCCAAACTTAGTCGGGTAATAAACCTGAGTGCTCGTATCAACGGTTTTTTATTCTGAGTAGTGGGTTGTCTTCATTGAGTCGAATATCAATAAATAAATCAAGGCGAAGGACTATCATCGCAATTCTAATCAGTGCTGCATCCCATGTTACGGTATCAATATAAAAGAACTATAAAGTCCTACAGATTTTTACACGTAATAAAGCTGAACGCAGCTGAAGATCTTTGGCAGCGAAAAGCAGCCGGCGCCGCTGCTACTTTAGCTAAATAAGTTGACAAATCAAGTGGTTGGAGCCGGCGACTGGGGAACTGATGGAGTGCAGCGTCTAGTCGGCAGTAGCGCGATAGATAAGAGAAGTAGAGGGCAGTGGGCATCGGCAGGTCGCGACTGAATGGCGACGAAGCAGCGCCTTGGCTGGGGGGCGCGATAACGAGAGCAAGCGCTGCGGGTTCGCGCGAGCCGCCGAAGCTCTGCTCGTTATCCGCGAGCAGCTCTCGGCGCGCTCGGCAGCATCCGCGCTGCTTCGCTCGTGACACCATGGAGTAGCGGGCGAGTGTCGCGCGATCTTGGATCCGTCGCAGGCAGACCCATCGGCCATCCCTTCCCGAAGCATGGCGAGCAACGACATCGAGGCCAACCCCGAGGCAGCCGATACCGGCACCGACTGGCGCCCACAGCAGCAGCAGCAGCAGCAGCAGCAGCAGCAGCAGCAGGACTCGACGGTTCCGTATCGATCCCCCTTATCTCCTCGCCAGATCTAACGGCGGAGAGTCGCACGGAGTGACCGCGTGGGTGCACGTTGCAGGCGAGGCGCGAGCTGCCAGCAGCGGTAGCCTGGTCGGGCCTCGGCGGCGACTGCCCGCTGCTCAGGGACGCGCTCGCCCACAGGCAGGGCCTGGTCTGGACCGTGTGCAGATTCTTCGTCGGCTACATGCGCGGGTTCTCTCAGGTACGTTTGGATCCGAGCCGCGGACCGCTGCTGCGCTGCCCGCGCTCTCCGTTTCTCCGCTCCGTTGAGCACTGACGAACACTCGCTCGTGTCGATCGCTGTTTCGGCTCGGATGTGCGTGCCACGGCAACGACAGATAGCCGTGCGGCGGCCGCGCGGCTGCGACCGCACGAGCATCTCGCGTTACGCAAACGAACGACGAAAAAAGCCGAGATACTGCTAATCCGCTGGATGGCTGTCTCGTTTGCGTCGCGACTCGCGGCTGATCGTCGCGGTTCGCACCTACCGTTAGGAGCGCTCGTATTGGAAAAATCGACCAAATGTCACTGCCACTACTGTTATCTTCATCACTGGCAAACAGCGATTACGTGATACAAATCGCGCGACAATTGGCCTTATCTCTCACTCTCTCTCTCTCTCTCTCTCTCTGTCCCGGTTGTCGATAGTCCCATTCGTCTGTCAAGAATTACCCGCCAGCAGCGCGAGCAATTAGCATTATCACGCGCTTCCATTGGATAACTAGCGGCGCCCAACACGCGAGCTACACGTCTCGAGAACCAACGCCGGTGGCTTACGACGCTGCTAATGAATCTCAACTGCACACGCGTCGCTCGCGTCATTGCAGTTCGATAATGCAGAGCGGCACTTGTAATCATGCCTCGCTTTTTAGACTAGCTTCTCGAACAATCCAATCACGGGACTGATCTTGATGGTTGGCCTGACAACGGTAGGCCCGGGTACCTTCGTCTGCTGCTCTGCCTGCAGTCTTTTGGGACATTTGGTGTCGATGGTCAGTTACGACGGCTCGTTACAAGCAGCACAGCTCACTGAGACGCGTAACACTGGCCCTTACAGTCGCTACGAGAGCCGCGGGTCAACCTGGACAACGGACTGACCATCTTCAATCCACTGATCTTCGGAGCAGTTTCGTACTATTTTGTGCCAGAAGTGTATGGAGCGTTCGACGGCTTCAGCTGCTCGCTGATGTTCTTATGCGTGGTTTTCATGTGAGCTCCGCGGCCGTTCATAGGCAGTACGCAACCGATCGCGACCGATCGAAACTCTTGTGTGCAGATCGTACTTCTGGAGGGCTTGTGCAAACGGCTGCATCCCGTGCCTGACGATGCCCTTCAACGTGGCCGAGCTTATTCTGTTGTTCACGCTGAAAGAGGCTCGGAGCCAACTGGATCACGGTCTGTCGTTTGCCAGCTCCGTGGCGGCAGCAATTCCAGTGGTGAGTTCAGCTGCGCGCGAATCTGCGACTGCTGAGATTTCGGTGGACACTCGTGAGTGGCCGGGCGATAAGTGCAATTAGCGTGAGCGATTGCGCGCAGTCGCTCGCGCCCCGCCATTACAACCTGCAGTCGCAGCCTGCCGCGCTGACCTACATTTTTTTGGCGGACGAAAGTTCGAGCTCTCCAATTCGCGCCAATTGCCACTTGGCTTTGTCTTGCGCGCTCAGTTTCGCGCTAATTACCTCGGCGACGCAACGCGTCAGCTGGGCGCATCGCGTCGCGCATCCCCCTCGCCGCCGCCTGCCCCTTCCGTCTCGGCGCTTCGCGAAGCCGCCAAGTCCGCCGACTGTCTCGCGGGGGCTGCTGTTCGCCACGACAAGACGTTTCGCGGCCGAAGGAGGCACCGACCCAGCCGAGTAGTAAGAGTCTGAGCTGCGCGCGAGCGTGCTGTGTTTTTGCAGGGCGACGGGGCGGCGACAGCGGCCTCGGCGTTGGCGGTGGCGCCGGGCATCGCCGGGAACGCGACACTGCTCGGCGGCAGCCCCGACTGGACAACGGTAAGCGCGCCCACGCAGCTGCCGCGTTACCCTCCCGATGCCCCCGCTCCCCGCTCCCAGCGCCGCTCAGCCGATCGCTGATCCAGATCGTGCGTGCCTCGGTGGTCTCCGGCTCGCAGCTGTTCGTCGTTGAGAGCGTGGCGTTCGGCGCCGTCGTCTACCTGGCCGTGCTGCTGTACTCGCCGCTGACCTGCCTGTTCGGCTTCCTGGGCTCGCTGGGCGCCTCGATCGTCGGCAAGTGTCGGCCGCTGCTCTCGGCCGCGGTGCCAGCGCTCTAATTGGCGACTAATCGGCCGCTGCGCCACCCGCTGTTCGCAGCGCTGCAGCTGGGCCGCCCGCGAGCGGCCGTCGGCGCCGGCCTGTACGGCTTCAATGGCTACCTGACCGGGGCCAGCTTGGGCGGCAGCTTCCTGGTGATGAACGGGCAGGCGGCCGCCGCCACCTGTGTGGCTATCGTCCTCACGGGCCTCGTGCAGCACGTGCTCGAGATCGTCTTCCTGCCGGTAAGCGCCCGCGCGCTCGCTGCCCGTTCGAGGCGGCGAGCGAGCGGCTCCTCGACCACGGCTCGCTTCTGCTCCAGACCGGTCTGCCCGTCGGAACCATACCCTTCGTGCTGACCACTTGGCTGTTCATCGGACTCGGCAAGATGCCCGAAGGCGCCTTCTTCTACCCGGTCAGCATCTCTTGCCCGGAGCAGCAACGCAAGGAGCTTCTGTCGCAGCGCCGACTGGCCAAGTCGGAGCAGGTTCGCCCGCGCCTTCGCGCCCGAGCCTCGCCAATCCTAACTCATTGCCGATTCGCAGACGGGCGCCGCGTCGGAGCTGCTGCTGCGCAACGGCAAGGCGCCCCTGGCCTGAGCGGGCCACGACCGAGCCGCGCGTCGGAGGCCGTGCAGCCGAGCCGGAGCAGCAACAGGGCAGCTGTGACCAGGTCCAGCTGGCGCATCGCTTCGTCGCGTCCTCCTTTTCCTTCTGTCTTTTCCATTTGGATAGCTGTATTGTCTCTGCTCCGAGGTCGCGCGGCCGAGCTGTGAGCCAACAAACATTGCAGATACGACTGATACGCGTTCACTTGTTGACTTTCTCTTCGTGCTTTTGTGTGCCGCGAACAGTGCTTTTTATCTATTATGTCATTATCTTTTGTACAAGAGCTTCACTACAACGCGGATATTGTCGAGTTTGGATTGCATTACTTTGAAATTACATTAAAATTGTATTCCAGTTCTTCGGGAAAATAAAAGAATGTAAATGAAGCAGCAGCTCTCGTACTACATTTGTCGGAAGTCTCGTTTGCATTCTTTATGCTGTTATAAGTTTGTCTTGATATTCCAATAAAATGAGAAAAATTCATAACCGTATACTGAACCAACGCGCTACAGCGAATTCTACCTGCTATTTAATAATTATCTGGCTCAGCTGTGAATTAGAAAATAGTCTGCATTTTTATGAAATATTTAGATACGTGTTTGTATTAAAAATTACTTTTCAAATACAGCACGTCAATATTAAATCGTTTGCGTACATTATTGTCTCACTGATTTTATACAACAGACTCGCGTTTTCATAAGACCAATTTATTGGTTGCAAGCCTCAAATGCAAACCTCTCTGTATTGTATTTTTGAAAAATATTGATACGATGCGCACTGCTATACCACTTCCTTTTATTTGCGATATTTACATTATTTTGAACGTTACTTTCACTCGAGAAAGATTCATGGGTTGGGTAATCGATCAATTGCAACGTATTTTTCTTATTTATGTATAATTCATAAGGCGAAAGAAACATCCATCATTGTAGTTGAAACTAGCGACCTCGTCCTACTTAATCAATTTAATGTACTTTCGTCCTGGTAGACATTTATGACCAGCGAAAATAGGTAAGAATGTTGCATGAGCTGTTCTGCAAATGATATTCTGAATTTGAATAAACTGCGTACAATACCGGGGAAATATCAACGAGATTGATCGATTTTTTGGCGACCGATTCGAATTCAGTGTCGACAATTGTTCCGTAAAGGTAAACATTACACGATGCGATGCTCCTGCCAGAAAAATCGAACGATCAGGAAGAAGATTTCGGCGTGAATAAGCGACAAACAATTGCTGAATCAAGAACAATCAGACTGGTCAAAGATCACTGCTTTTACATGGCAAATCCGCTGCAATATTCACATGTACAATTAAGCGCGAGTGAACATTGTTCAACCGTGCAAGAGCCATATCATTTGATAGTCTAGAATTGTGAGGATCGCTTGGTAGTTGCTGTTAGAATGTTCCCAGATTTTTACTGAGACGTTGATTCTGAAATCAAGTTATTAAAGAATAAAAAGGCTTAATAATGTTTCTAACGAGGGAAGAGTATCCAATTCTCCGTAAGCGGTGGAGACGGTATAAACAGTATAGTCCATATCGTGCAAGTATCTATCCGCCTATAACGACATTGATGTGCTTCGGATGGATGAGCATGGCATAAAGATGAGCAATGAAGTAAACGATTGTGCGTGAAACGCCGAAGAGCCTGTTCACCGATGAAGGTCGTCGTAATGATGCGCCGCTGAAATGACGTGAACCGCAACTGCGGCTCAGGTGCGGATAAAAGCGCGATTTAGCGGCAGTAACGAGAGAATTGGAGACCGACGGGTCAGCAGGGCCGTCCGTAATCGTCAATGGCGTGGTGCAATCAGCCTCGAGACGGGCACTCGAGTCCGCTCGCTCGTCCGCGCGCCACTTCAGAAGAAACGCCATCTCTGCGATGCGCAGGACGAGAGCAGCGCGTGAGGCTGGAACGGCGCAAAGCAGTAGGCGCACACGAAAGTCGGCGGGCGCGCGAATAAGCCAACGATTGCTATTGATCCGGATATTAATAAGACGGCGGCGGCGGCGCTTGGGGGTAGATCGCCGAGAGGAGGAGCGGAGACGCGCGGCTGCAGGCGAAGCGCCCCAGTGGGCGCCGGAGAGGCCGTCGGACTGGCAGGCGTCGAACGGGAGGCCGGAGCAGGCCACTGGACCGCGGACCGGGGCTCGGCCCGAGGACAGCCGGGCGAGAAGTGCGCAGGCCTCCCGGCGGCGCCGCGGCCGCAGCAGCGGAGCGAGCGAGAGGGCGCACGGCGCCGCCGAGCGCCGTCGCTGCGCGAAATGGGAACAATGGCAGGCTGTGCGGCTGCCGCGGCTGCCGCGGCGGGCTGCCAGTAGCGCTCGGGCCCTGCTTCCGCCCGCTCTGCAGCTTCAGCCCCGCTCGCGCGTTCCTCTCCCCCCGGCCGTGCTAGCTCTCTGCCTCCTCTCTGCCTCCTCTCTACCCCCCGCCCTCGCTGTCGCCCGCCGCTCGCCCTCCGACGCCGCCACTATCGCCAGTGCGTCGTACGCCCATGGACTGCCCGCGGCCGGCATGCTGAACCCTAGGTAGGACACTTCGTCTCCGGCGCTCGCCCGTCCTCGCTCTCGCGAGCCATTGCACTCGTGCTCCTCCGCCCGGTTCGTCGGCCAAACCAACGCGGCCCCTGCTTGTTTGCTCAGCGCCCCGCTCTCTCGTCCTGCCTTGCCTTGCCTTGCCCTCTCCCGTCTTCGCTTGTAGTGCACGTCACGCTAGCTCTTCGCAAGCTCGTCCTACTAGTAGATCAACCGCGTTGAACGACGCAGCTTCAGAATCGGTGTGCACAGACGTTGGCTACTGATAGCGACGGGGAAAAATCGGCCAAGCTTTAGTGTTTCAAACCTATCACCTAGTGATGCTCTAGTCTGTTCAAAAATGAGCAATCGATTGAGGGCTCGCACTGCACTGCCGGCTCACGGATATTTTAATGATGGTCCGCCGTGATTGCTCACTCCCGATTTTCTCGGTGGAGAATAAAGCGTCGCTCTTTATTGAATGGTCTCGAATAGACGTTGAACGCACGCTAGAGCCTAGTATACGTACAAGTGTAACGCTCTCTGTGGCTCCCGTTGCAAATCTGAAGTGCTCGACAAAGCCAGAGTGGACAAACAAAATGGTAGGCTGCGAGTACAAGTTGTAAACAGCAGCGGCGAGCGATACAGAGCTTGGGAGCTTTTCCAGAGCCTCGCTATATCGCCTTGAAGCTAGGGGGCCAAACGAGGTAAACGTCCTACCTTAGTGCTTTCAGTGTTTTTTACGGCCACTCGATCCGTAGAACGCGACTGTCGAGGCTGTTTATTGAATAATTCTATTACGCGAAAGGATAATTAGTCACCTGTTGATCGTCGGGCAAGCCGTCGCTCCGATCCAACAATCGTGCGCCGTTAGATGGGAATAGATGGATTAGAAGATAGAGGCGGAACGAGTCATTTGCCACGAGAACGTGCGCCAGGTCCGTTGGCCCCGTGGGTGTCGGACACCAACGAGCACGGCGCGCCAAGTTCGCGCGCGACGCGTCCCGCCCGCAGATTAATGCGACTCCGAGCTGGCAGCTAGCGCGCGCTGAGCGGCGGCCAACTGAAAATTTAACGCGCGCAACCGGATTCAGAGCAGCGCCGGCCAATTTGCCGATTGCCCGAATTATTCAGCGCTCCCGAGATAGAAGTGCCGTTCCGTCGCCCTTTCCTGCACGAGCAGTGCAGCTTCAATTATTCGGCGCGGTCCGTAATTGCGCCTTCAATCGGAGCCCACCTATGCACCCAAGAACCTTGCCGCGGCAACCTTGGCCGGCGCGACGCGGCCACCAAAAAGAAATTGCAACGAGAACGCCCAGGGGATGCTTTTGCTGTGCCCCCACCGATAACTTTGCCCGCATTTTTTTGTCGTCGGGCTGCGTAACTCGATTGCACCGGCGACGGTATCGATCGCGCCGAAGCTCGGCCCACAACCAGCGCCCCGTTGGGCTCGCCGCTCATCGCACTGCTGCGTTTCAGGAGGAGCCAGGCAGTCGGCAGCAGCAGCAGCTCCGGCACCAGCTGAGCGACGCGCAGATGGGGGGCCATGCGGACTGAACCGGCGCCAGCAGCAGTGGCAGCGAGCCTGCGGCGGCCCGGGCCCGCGGCCGCGCGCAGCTGACAGACGCCAGCCGGCGCCGCGGCGCGGCCAGCGCAATGACGGTCCTGCCATCGGTCTCGGACGTCGCGGACAAGGCGGTCTCCACCGAGGACGTCAAGGGCGGTGGCGGCGGCGGCGGCGGCGCGGAGCTGGCGCGCCTCGAGGCCGTGCTCTCGGCCCTGGTCGAGGGCAAGCTCGAAGCCCTACGGGCGGGCGCGGGCCGCTCCGCCGGGCGGCCCCGGCGCCCCTCCTCCTCTAGCCTCTCGTCCTCGCAGCCGCGCGACCCGAGACGACCCGCACCCGCCGGCGTCCGCGCCGCCCGCCACGCGTGCTGCAGCGCCGCGCAACCGTGAGTGCTCCCCGGCCGGCGCTCGGCGGCTCGCTGACCGACTGCTTGCAGCAGGGCCGCCTGCGACGCGGACGAGCAGCTGGCCCTCGGCTTCGCGGACGAGCCGTGCGGGCCCGAGGACGGGACGGGCCTGGCGGGGCTGGAGGCTGGCTTCCGGCAGAGCGCCGGGCGTCCGCAGAAGCCGCGCGGCGGGCGCCGGGGGCGGCGCCGGCGGGGCCGGCGGCCCCGGGCCGCACGCCTCGTCGACGTGGAGGCCGACGAGCTCGAGCTCGGCTCGGTGATGGTCGACCCCGACGACCTGCCGCCCCGCGCCCGCTGGACCATCATGGCCACCGCCTGCCTCCTGCTCGCCATGTCGCTGCTCCTCGTCGGGGTCACGCTGCGCATGGCGCCCATCATCGACGAGATGGGTGAGTCTCAGCCCTCGCTTCTGTTTCGCCCTTCCTGCGAGCTGCGGGGGTCCGTGCCGACCTCCGCTGGCGACCAGCTTGGCGAGCATCCGTCCGCCTCGTTACGAGTTCGATTGGCGTCAGCCACAGCCGTTTTGTCCACGGCGGAACATTCGGTTTCGTAGTGCGACTAGCTTCTGCGAATGTCCAGAGGTTGACAAATTGCAGTATTCTTCTATCCGAATGGCGTCCCCGGCCATTATAAAGTCCGATCTTCCAATGAAACATCCGATCTTGATCGCTAACTTCATTATCCTTACGTGCGAAGAACATCGTACTTGCAGTTCGCACATTAATAGTCGACTATGAACCATGTGTTAAGAATGTAAATAACTGATTAATAGTCTAAATTTTCATGATAAAATTTTGAGATAATGAATAACAGACTGACGTATTAAACGCCATCTCAATGCTTCGTATCCGAGACAATGATCGATGCAACGTTGTTCCAATGGACTGAACAAAACATAAATTTAATTATTCGAATGTAATGTCATTTTTCAAGAAGGTATGTCGAATATTTGTATTTATTATACTTTAAAACAGTATTTTTGATGACGGATAGAACCTAAGAGTTTCCGGACTCCAAAATGCTAAATGAATCCTAAACAGTAAAAAGGTATTGCATTATGGCAATATGTAACTACAATTGAACTTTGTGCACAGATGATAAGTTAGTTTAATTTTCATTTATGAATGTTGTAGCAAATTATCATTATAGCTAAACGTTAAAAGTCTACTAATTGTGCCTCTACTGGGACAACTCTAATGTCTTTTTAAAAAATGATAAAATTTCGATCAACAAGCCAAATTGATTAATGAAATAATGCAATGCTTATAAACTATAAGCTTGTTGAGACTAATTCTTCATATATTGATTTTTACGCAAGTTGTTTATTTACACTTGTCTAAGAATACTTTGAATCCACTAGGAAATGGTTGCCCTGATTGCAATTCGTGCATCTTAATCTGTCATCTTTCCATCCTATTTCATCCTACTTATCGTTTACATGTAGCTTTTAAGATTGAATGTTTACCTAAAATTTGATATTAATTATGGAAATATGATAAATTCTTTACTGGAAACGCTAAAAAGGAAAAAAGGGATTTTTTTGTCGAATCAGAATAATCGTTCGTTAAACTTACAAGCACCTGCGAGGCTTATTGTTATATATTTTCAACATTCTCACTTATCTTAAGAGCTAAAAATATGATTTAACATGATAACCATATTTGTTGAACAAAATCTGACAAACTTTTGCTGTAAACACATAATGAATACCATTGATAGAAAAATATGAGCATAATTAGAATTCATTTGCATCCTTGAATTACATTCTTTGAAGAATAAATTAATTTTTTTCATTTTCATACCTCATTTTACGTCTGAATAGCATTTAAATATGAGTTTAACATATCCACTGTCTTTTGACAGCAAGATGAAAATTGAAAACTAACTTTTACACCAGACGGTATTTTTACTAATACCGTCTAATTGTGAGTCAGATTTTCACGCCACTAGTCTGGGCATAGTAATGGATTGTGGTTTTAGGGAGGAAGGTGCTTAAAAGATAAAGTATTCTAATTTGTATGTGGTATACGTAAAGAACCGACGCATTTTCGCGTCATCCACAAACAAGGGTAGTAAGAAGACACATGTATAAAGTATGAGGACTTATATATAAAACACTACGTGTTACGTTTTGTGAAAAAAAATTGCAAGCATAAGAAAAGCCGAATTGACCATAGTATGTTTTTGAATCCAATTTGCACTAACCTGGGTATGAGAAATGATTGTTGCGTGCCACAGAGCGCAAGGTGACACTTACAATATTGTCGAGCAATGTCGCGCCCATAGGTGAGAATATAGTACACTGAGACTTCGCATGTATTGCTCACCCCGTGTAGCATCGTTCGCTATCTGGTTTATTCTTTCTGCGGTTATCGTTCAGTGCTGCACAAATGATCGCACGCTTTACCTCGATATAGTTATAGTTTGTTTTAGAGCAGTTCTGAATGATTCCGCGCAGCAGTTTTACGAGAAAAACTCCAAAATTGAGAAATAAACTTAGCAACAGTTAACGTACAGCAACCAGATGTGAACTTGTTGTGACTGATTTTATTGCCAGCATTTTATGTGCTCATACGTTTTCTTATTATTCCCGATAAAACTGCTGCAGACAATCATCAGCACTGCTTTAAACTACGTATTAAAGTCTATTCACGATAATATTTTCAGCTTTTTCTTCACCAATAATCACTTCGCAAAGCATTGCTTACTTCACATATAAACAGGGTCTATTTTTTTAAAATTGGCACATTAAACAATATCGAGCAACTGTCAATTATGATCGGTTCCGAACGTTAATTCAACATTATCAGCAACTTTTTTACTTACAAATATCGGACGTACCGTGACAAAAGAATGAATGTTTGGAATAGGCTGATGATGCTGTTGCACTGTCTAATTGTAAGTAAAATATAATGTGCATGCATACGAACGTATTTAGAACATGCTGGCAATGCTCCAACCAGTTAATACCAAACAAAATAGTGACTGGAAAATCACATAAATGTGCATATATATGCATGAGTTTTAAGATTTCTAGAGCGGAATAGCAATACAAATGAAAAGATTCCAAAACAACTTATTGATTTCTTGATTGATTCATGAAAATAACTAAAAACTAACTTGTACATGCTACGACAACTAAATGGCAATAAGTTGTCGTAAAGTAGCAATTGATTTTTATGCTAAAGAGTGCTTAAAATACTTAAAATTCACATTAAGTACCTAGACATATTCAATTTTAGATATATATGCTGGCACACATGCGTGCATTACTTACACATCCACATGATACATTGATGTGCTATTTATCATATATTTGTTTTATTACATTGCCTATCACATTGTTATTTTTCGAGATTTTCAATTTATATGAACTGCAGCTACGCTGATCTGTGTCAGTCTGTTCATATTACTAATTAATGAAGGTGCTAAACTTGAAATCACTTGAACTATGAGATTTCTTTTGTAGTGGCTGTCCGGTGCTCATTACAAATAAAAACTCATCTTTTTTTATTTTTCGTAGTTCAATATTTTTTATTCAAAATATTCCAATATTACTAAAATAAAACACTCATGTTCCATTCGACTCGTCTTTCAAATCAGTCTAAAAAGAATCCTTGCACAGAAAGTGTATAAGATAACGTATCGTATTTTCTATCAATTTAATCAATGAGTCTTTTATTAAGCCGTTATTTCAAAAATATAGATATATGAACGTTAAGTAAAATTTGTAGCCAAGTGTTTAACCATACGAATTTTAGAAGTATGCTTGAAAATAATAAAAATAGGGACAAAAAAGTTTCATTAAAAATATTGAATTCTTCACGTTGTTAAATGGATCCTTGAATATCAATGACGTTTTTAAGCTCAATATGATTATACGATTTGTCACAAAAATAGTATACTTTTAAAAATTTAACTCAAAATCAAGTGTTATCAACTTATTTTTTTCGAAAAATGGATTTACGAAGCGTATAAACTTTTGCATATTCAAAAAAGTACTTTATTTTGAAAGTTACGTATCTCAAACTAAATTTCACCAAATTTGCAATTTTTTTCTTATCTGGTATTTTTTTATGTGAAGGAAATTGGACTGAATCGATATAGATAAAGAAATGATAAAACACTTTTATGTTTTATTAACTGATCCGTTAACGTACTGAGAATTTACTAATAAAAAAGAATTGATGAGAACACAATATTTGAATATCAAGATATTGTTCGTGGTGGAAATAAAATTACTTACGATTCAATGCCATTAAAGCTAATATTCTTGATTTTTAATCAAATTGAAAAAAAAACAACCAATACCCGGAATGATACATAAAGAGAGAGTTCGCTCCAATATTTATTTATTTCTCCAAAGTTATATACGTATGTAACGTCGGGCCGTTTATTAGAAATAAATTTTTTTTTCCTCATGTACTTTTGTGTAGCTTAAATTTTAACTCGGTAAACTAGCGAAGGAGAGCCTTCAGCTGAAGCAGCTGGAGGACACGTGAAAATAGTCGTCCCTTTATCGCGCGCTTTCCGATGTTTACCTCGCACGATCATAAAGTTTTTTGAGTAGGTTTAGATAAAGAGTAAAGGAGCCGCGGAATTCCACCTGCATCCTGTTACTCGATTTCACCCAAAAGATTTCCACTTTTAGAAGTCAAAACTTTTGCTATAAAAAAAAAAACCTTAATAACTAATTTTACATAAATGAATCGGGAAAATAACAGCATGATAGGAAAATTTCGCAGCTTCTTGAAACCTCCCACACACTTTTTGATTAGAAATATAGTTGCCGCGCAATCATTGAAAATAACTCGAAGTTTTAAAATTACAAATTAGAAAAATGAGGTAAATAGTCGAAAACAGTTACTTGAACGAATTTTAGCAAATCAGTTATTCCAGTCCACAATTAAATAATACCCTTTTTTCGTTCGAATTTATTTAAACAACGAAGTGAGTTAATTAATTAAGTTACCAATTGTAAACATGTAGGATCAACAGATTTTCGCGTAAAATATATTAAATAATAAGGAACTTGCGTTATTTTTAAGAATTAATTGTAATAATTTTATATAATAAATAACTTAATAATTATAAGAGAAACTGTACTAAAAATGGTACTTGGAGAGTCATCTAGCGAGATAAGGCCCAAACTCTTGAACGCGCGCCCCCAATTCTCACCACGCCCCCGAACCAATTAGGGCCCGAAATCCGAAAGAGAAAAGGAGGGAAAATCTCGGTTGGCCAATTACAATTCACTGGCATTTCCACTCTTCCCAAATTTCGAGGGACTGAAAGAGGGATTTTCCTCCCAACCACCCCCAGGGTTTAAAAGGGCATGCGCAAGCGAAAATCGCTCTCTCACGCTCCCACGCTCCACACAAGGTTTTAA